AATTAGTTATATCCCACTGCATTAACCAATCCTCTTCACTCACTCTCCAAACTCATCTCTCTCTCTCTCTCTCTCTCTCTCTCTCTTAAGGAAGGGGCAAGCCAAGTCCTTTTTTGGTTGCAACTGGTCCTGAGTACTACAACCAGGATCCATATATTGAAATTCAACCAAAAAACCAAGGAGAGAAAACATAAATAAATAAAATAAACAAGCAACTAGAAGTAAAAGATAAGTGCCAAAGCTCTCCCTCCCACTAATAGTCACATGCACTTTTTTCTTCCCATCAATTGGTAAAAAGGCTCCTCTTGTTGACGAAAGCAAGAGAGATAAGATTCTTAATTGGACAACAAGAATTTCCTGGCCATGGTATATAGTTGAGAAAGGATAAAAGGTGGGTTTGTTTTATAAAGTTTTAGTTTGATGAGCTTTGGGAGATGTCAGGTGGTGCTTGTAGCATAGTTTGGTTCAGGAGGGATCTCAGAGTTGAAGATAATCCAGCACTTGCAGCTGGTGTTAGAGCAGGTGCTGTTGTTGCAGTTTTTATATGGGCACCTGAAGAAGAAGGCCATTTTTGCCCTGGAAGGGTGTCAAGGTGGTGGCTTAAGCATAGTTTGGCTCATCTTGATTCTTCTTTGAGGAGTCTTGGTACTTGCCTCGTCACAAAGAGATCTACTGATAGTGTTTCTTCTCTTCTTGAGGTTGTTAAATCTACTGGTGCTACTCAGCTCTTCTTCAATCACTTGTATGGTTAGTTTTCTTTTCATTTCCTTTCCTTCCTTTTTGTTGGATAATTAAAAAAAAGAAGATTATGTAATTTTTTTATATTAATTCGTTTGTCTGCTACTGTTTGCTAAGTTTTATTGTCAAAAGTATATTTATTTTGTATGTTGGGTTGCATGGGAATTATATGGATAATCTTGTGGATTCACCCTTTTTAGGCTATTATTTACTTTCCTTTATTCTTTTCTCTTTAAACTTCTTATGGGTTTTGCCGATTTTAATCTGTTTCTAATATAATAATTCAGTCTTCTAAGGCTTGCTTGCATCGATCCAAATAGATTTTTGTCATTCACTAGACAAGGTGCTTTTTTTCTTCTCTTTTTTTTTTTTTTTTGCTATCCTTTTCTGATTGGTTTCATTGATTGTTCTCTAATTGCTTATAATTGTGAGGTCAGCTGTTTTATAACCATTTGGGTTTCCCAGTATGTTCCTTTTTCTTTCCTTGAGGTTGCATATTTATTGTCCATTTATTGATACTATTAAGATTAGCCAGTTCCTGCTATAGTGATCATATTTTCTTTTAAACTACTGTCTAAGTATTTTGAGTAAATCTGAAATTTTCTTTAACAAGCTTGTTAGGTTCTTTATTTTCCTATAATAGGTGTTTATTAAAGAAAAGAAAAAGGCTGTGTGTTTAACATTTAACAGGAAATTTACTGTTTTTCAGATCCTATATCACTGGTTAGGGATCATCGGGCAAAGGAGGTATTAGCAGCCCATGGTATAGCAGTTCGATCTTTCAATGCTGATTTACTTTATGAACCCTGGAATGTAAATGATGATCAGGGCGGCCCTTTCACTACTTTTGCTGCTTTCTGGGAAAAATGCCTTAGCATGCCCTATGACCCTGAGGCTCCACTTCTTCCCCCTAAGAGAATAATTTCAGGTTGGTCTCCAATGAATTCTGTTCTTGACTTATTAATCTCCATTATCAATCAAGAACCCTCTTTTTCCCCATTATTAATTCATTTGGTTTTGATACATGACACTGGTCTAACATTATTGACTTGCCATAGTTTGAAATATAAGAATTGGAAAGTCAGGCTCAGTTTGAAGCCTTTTAGTTTTGTGATTTATTTTCCTGAAATTAAAATGAATGATATCCATGTTATGCAATACATGTTTATTGTCTCTTTGTTTTAGGTAATGTATCAACTTGCCCTTCAGATCGATTGGTGTTTGAAGATGAATCAGAGAAAGGAAGCAATGCTCTTCTAGCTCGAGCATGGTCACCTGGGTGGAGCAATGCTGATAAGGCTTTGACTGCATTCATTACTGGACCTTTAATTGAGTACTCTAAGAATAGAAGAAAGGCTGATAGTGCTACAACCTCATTTCTCTCTCCCCACTTGCATTTTGGGGAGGTGAGTGTGAGAAAAGTCTTTAATCTTGTCCGCAACAAGCAGTTTCTATGGGCCAATGAAGGGAACAAAGCTGGTGAGGAGAGTGTTAACTTGTTTCTCAAGTCAATTGGTCTGAGGGAATATTCAAGATACTTGAGTTTTAACCATCCTTACAGTCATGAAAGGCCTCTTCTTGGGCATCTTAAGTTTTTCCCTTGGGTAGTAGATGGGGGCTATTTTAAGGCATGGAGACAAGGTAGAACTGGTTATCCACTGGTGGATGCTGGCATGAGAGAGTTGTGGGCTACTGGCTGGCTACATGACCGGATAAGAGTTGTAGTTTCTAGTTTCTTTGTAAAGGTTCTGCAGCTTCCTTGGAGATGGGGTATGAAGTATTTTTGGGATACCCTTTTGGATGCCGATTTAGAGAGTGATGCTCTTGGCTGGCAATATATATCTGGTACTCTTCCAGATGGTCGTGAGTTTGATCGCATAGATAATCCACAGGTTTGGCTGAAATTTTTGTTAGCTGTCTTACAGATTGTCTTTGCAACTTGGCTTCTGGTGCACCCTAAAATACATACATATTTCTACTAATTATAATGATATAACTATGTTTCTATTTTTTTAACCGTATTTAAGCTCTGTTGCGTGGCGCTTTCAATTGACATGTTAATTTTATCAAGAATTTGTTTCCATAAAAATTATTGTCATTAGTAAAGTTATTCAAAGTTCATGTTATTAGTTTCCAAATTGTAGAAAAGATTCTATTGGAGATCTTTTTAGTTTTGGTATTTGACGCTGTCTGAACCTTGTAGTTTCTGGCTAGTGAAGTTCCACATAACAATAACTGTTTCCTAATCTCAAGTATACTGGCAGGCATAAATTTGTAAATGTTGCAGAAGGAAATTGAAGCTTGCATTGCTACCATTTTAATCTCCTTTTAGTCCCTCATGCCCAGTTTTCAAGTGGTACTATTTGTTTATCAAAAGCATAAGAAAATCCATCAGTCTAAGATTGCAATTATATTGAAATCTAGTTTATGCCTTTTTTCTGTTCAATTTTCTTGGATGATATATAGCGCCAGCTCTCTCATCCAGTTAAAGTATTCTACAGTTTGAGGGTTACAAATTTGACCCACATGGAGAATATGTACGACGGTGGCTTCCTGAACTTGCAAGACTACCAACTGATTGGATTCACCATCCATGGAATGCTCCTGAATCTGTACTCCAAGCTGCTGGAATTGAGCTTGGATCAAATTACCCTCTTCCTATTGTAGGAATAGATGCTGCAAAAGCCAGGTTGCAAGAAGCGCTTTCACGGATGTGGCAGCAAGAAGCATCTTCAAGAGCTGCAATTGAGAATGGAACTGAGGAAGGCCTTGGAGACTCTTCTGAATCAGCGCCATTTGCCTTTCCCCAAGACACACAAATGGAGGAAAACCTTGAACCAGCAAGGAACAATGCTCCCGCTACAACTCGGAGATATGAAGATCAGATGGTTCCTAGCATGACTTCTTCTTTAGTGGGAGGCGAACAGGAAGAAACTTCCTCGGATCTTAGAACTTTTGCAGAACATAGCAGAGCAGAAGTTCCAAGAAATGTAAATATAAATCAAGAACCACGAAGAGACACATTAAATCAAGGAATCCCACAAACAGTTCGTAACAACAACACTTTTCCGCAATTTAATTTCCCAATGGGGGTGGGAAATGCGGAAGATTCCACAGCAGAATCTTCTACTAGTAGTAGTAGGAGAGAGAGGGATGGAGGAGTTGTTCCAGTTTGGTCTCCTCCAGCTCCTAGTTATTCAGAGCAGTTCATAGGTGATGAAAACGGTATTGGTGCGAGTTCATCTTATTTGCAGAGGCATCCACAATCCCACCAAATAGTAAATTGGAGGCATTTATCTCAAACTGGGTAAGAGCATTTGAATCATTTTGTTAGGGATTGATCAGTATTTTTTTCATTTTCTGCACATGGCTGTGGTTAAAAGTTATACCCTCATTGGTGTTGTAAAGAAAATTGGAAGCGAGCTCCTTCTGTCTAATGACTGAAGATGCTTCGTTTGAAAACATTTCTGACTAATAATGAGTAGTACAGCTTCTCACGTATTACTTGCTGTCTAGGAGTAGGATTTCTAAATTACTTGAGATGTATCAAACCGATCAATAATTGAAGATATGCTTTACTGAAGTCTAACCATGACTACTTCCCCTATATGACTCATTTTAATCTCAAGCCTGAATGTTTGTATTGTAGGTAAAACAGATACACTCCGAAGACCGGAATCTTGTAGTTGGAGAATGCCAGAATGGCCATTCTTGTGGGCTGATGGCTAGAATGGAGAATGCCTTTTCTATCCACCCCATCTGTTGTCACCAATCTAACTTGATCAGCGGTTGACCTCCTATGTGTATGAAACTTAAAATGGATACAGCAGCTGATCTGCTATCTTTTTCCCCTTTTGTACCATATACATAATCCTGCTGTATAGTATTTTGTCTTCTTTATAAGAAAGGGAAGAGTGTCATGGTGGAAATGTGTAGTTCCTCTAATAAAACCAGGTTTGTATATTTACCTTTAACTGATTAGGAAGTTATTTTATTGTATTTCATATTTGTGCTATCTATTTGTTTTGTTATCCTACCAGCTTTTACCACATCACAGCTATAGGTTTGAAAAACAACAGCAGAATGCTTCTTTTTGAATTGCTGTGACCTTATATTAGCCACATTTTTTTTATTCTTATTTGTTGACAAAAGCATCAATCAGCAAGCCAAATTGTGTGAGCGCCCTAAGTAAAACTATTTTAACATTTCTGTCGGGCTTGGATGAAAATAACCCATTGATGAACTCTTCATCTATGAGACTAGGATACCTATGGATCAGACTTCAGGGTGAATATAAAGTTCATTATACATGCTTTGGGTGTTCTCCTCAAGCTTTCCTGGTTTAGGTACTCGAAGAATACTGTACACCAATGTTGCAGCCATTGCTCCAAGAATAGGAGCTATAATAAAGACCCAAAGGTTTTTGTAAACACCGGAGACAACAGCAGGGCCTAAACTTCTTGCAGGGTTCATCGAAGCTCCGGTAATTGGCCTGCCAAAATACAAGCTCAAAAATTTCATGAGATGTGTTATGATAAAAAAAATTGCACATGAAGTATAGTTAAAGCTACAGTAAAGTATAAAAATGATTGAGATGATTATGGAAAAGTTCATTTACCCAGCTATAATGACATTAAACAGCACTGTAGCACCGATTGCAACTCCAGTGAGATGTTTGTTCTGTTTTGGTCAATCAAAGATTCAGAACCACTATGATTAAAATTTGTACATATAAAATGTTAGACCGTGTGAAACTATTCTTGGAAAAGAAAAGATTGATTAAATGTTTCTGGTCTCTCCGGCTTCATTTTCCTTTCTTGAAATCAAAACTATTTTCAAACAGATGAAAAAGGAAAAGGAGTGACAAACACAAGATTGTATAAGTAATTTTTGGTCAATGCGTAAAGCCAAAAACTTTTGTTCTCGTCTTTCAAAATAGTAATGGCAAGCAGAACAGTAAGGTACACTAAATATTGGCAGGTAAAAGCAACTACCATATAACCTCATCACCGTACCGCTCTGTGATCAGTTGCGACAGCACAAATGTTGAACATCAATATGAAAGTGATTATGAATTCCCATGTAATGGCTTCAAGATCACTAGTTGAATCTTTGTATTGGGTCATTGTTGCTTGGATGTTACCTTGATCATGAAACAACGCCCGAAGGGTCAGGCTAGCAAGAGTTGCTCCTAGCAATTGAGCCAACAGATACATAGGTACCTTGACCGAGACGGAAGCCAGGTTTTAATGCATGAACTCATACCTAATGAGAAGTGAATATGTCGCGGTAAATGGTAAAAATGTTTCTAATCATTCCTTACTAGTTTCCATGAAAATTTGCGAGCAGCAGCCAAGGCTAGAGTGACAGCAGGATTGAAATGGGCACCAGAGATATGGCCAAGTGCGTATATTGCTGCCATCAGAACTAGGCCCCATACTAATGCTATTCCCACAATAGTTAGCGTTTGAACTTTGTTCACTAGAGCTGCCCCGCAACCTGCAAAGATAAGAAAGTATGTACCTACAAGCTCTGCAACAGTCTGTTCACAGAAAAATGCATAGTTCTTTTAGCACAAGAGAACAATATTTTTCATGTACCATGATGAAAGAAGTGACAAAAGAAAAGCACATCAATGTTTAACTTTTGCAAATTTGATGGAGGGATGTCATCGTTAATGGAAATTTCTCGTGAACGCTTAGCTTTATCCTCTTGCATGATGGAGAATTTTGTAGGCAGTGGAAGTTTAGGGGAGACCTCTACAATAGTAGAGCTCTTTGTAGGCGAAAAATTGGAGGAGATCTCTTCGGTAATTGAAGGCGTGTTAGCCATTGTAGCTTTTAAAAACTAGACCAAATTGGAGCTCAGAACTTGTTGCAAGTAGCCTAATATTATTCTGGCTACACAGCAAAAAAAAAAAAAAAGGCACTGTCTTAGAGGGATTCAATATTTTGGCTTCATTGCACCATAATCAATCTGTGGGTTATTATTTATGTTTAATTGAAAATTACTAGACGAATTCAACAATAAGAGCTAGCATTTGGCAGTCGTATCCACAAGTACTTGGGAATCATTGGATGGTATCAAAGACTTGCACTAGAACTTTTCAAATAAGAGCATGCCATTTTGTTTCTTTGAAATGTCTCTTCTTGACAGACAGATAGCTAGACAAATTTTTCTAATACAAATTGTTCACTTGGGAACACTATAGTCACATTCTTAGTCGGCAAATCGTGGTTTAAGAACTAAAAACCAGTTACTTGTCCCTGTCAAATCTAGAAAATTGGAAAAAATACACTTCAGACGAAAAGGACTTTCTATGTCTATGTTCATAGTAAATAATTTCGTTTCTATGGCTTCTGCCTTTTAGTATGTGGCTATATATCTTCATTGTGATTGTAGAAATCTGAGGCTGACCTAGATGTTATTGTCTAGTCTTTTTTATTTAATAGTAGCATATTCTGTAGAACGTTTTGGTGAATTTTATCTGCCAAAGTTTAGAGTTGATTATATATATATATATATAATTGTGTTAATTTAAAGGTTGATTATTGAAATTAAAAAAAATATTCTATTAATCGGTAGCACAATTGTTGGTCAACATGTTTAATTTTTTTTGGTAACACGTTCTTCACTTTGTTGAAAAAAAAAATCTTTTTTAGGCTATCTTGTAGTGTAATAAAAATGATAATATCTCTTTGGTGCTGAAGTAAAGATTCCTCCGGGCACCAATTTGTCAACTTCACTGCATTTCCCCTTATTCTGATAAAGATTTGATGGAGAGTCATGGACACATGAATCAACCCCCAGGCCCAACTTACTATAGAAGGATCTTGCCTTGGACAAATTGTGCGAGAAGAGGGACCGGAAAGGCGGAAACCTTGTGACCTGTTTCCAAATACTATGTCCATCTCCACGCCAAACATTATGGATACAAAGATATCTCACTAGAGATTCATCTAATAATGGCAGTGAAAGCTAGGACAAAAGAAATTAAAGACCGGCCTCAACAATAGGGCAGATGGTCCGTAGTCGTTACATATATATCTTTTTAAAGTATAACCAAACATGTACCTTTTGATGTAAATGCTATTTATTATAGACAAATTAAAATGTTTAACTATAATTGATCTCAAAACATATTGTTTACGTGTAAATTTGATTTTATGTTATCTCCGGTTCTCAAAATTGACAATACAAATGCATATGATTAAAAAAAAAAAAAAAAAACTCAATGTGTGTATGATTAAAAAATAATAGTTGTCAATAATTGTATAGTCTATTAAAAAAATTGGACCACTAATTTCAAAAATTAAAATTTAGTTTTTAGTTAAGTTTAAGTTTTATTGTATGAGTAGATTTAATGTTTAGTTAGACTATAATTTATTAATTTATTATTTAATTATGTAATTTGATTATGATATAATAATTTATATGAATATAATATTTAATTATAATAATAATTTTAACAAATATATCAAAAACTAAAATAGAAATTATGTAGGTGAACGGAGATTATCAAGAATTGAAATCAAAATCATAAGCATATACGTTTGTATAATTTCCTGGACCTTTTCCCTTCAACAAAAAATGCTTGTTTCGTGTGTCATAATACTAAGAAGCAATATCACAAGAATCAGGGAATGCTAGAACTAGAAATCGTGCCTTTCTCATAGGGCATAAACCATAAAGCCTAGCTAGGGTCCATAATTAAGCAATTTTATGGGTTTCTTTGCAACTAGAAGCATCAATGGGTACTGGAAAAAAAATTTTATAAAAAATTCAAAGCATCGGAATCGATTCCAGGCCACAGTTGTTTAAGTCAACGCCCATTTAATTAAACCAAAGAGAGATAACGATCAGTTAAAAAATTCAAATGTTTTTGATAAAAAGCTCCATGAATATGCCCTAGTTTATGGGGATGAAGCAGCTACGCACCATTGAAACAGATAGCCATGGTGGGTTTAGAAACGTTCATCATTTTAGAGGAAAAAAAAAGGTGTCAAGGACTAAAGAATAATGCCATTATTTAATTAATTTGAAAGTGAATCATAGTTTGGGATAATCTAATAAATGAACAAGATGATATGTTCCACTAAGCAATATATTTCATTCACTTCCAGATTTACGCTTTGACAGCGTGCAACTAATTGGTTTTTGACACGTGTCATTTGTAGCCTTTTCAGGCTCTTCTTAATCCCTGTTTGATTGTCCCCAATGACCCCATTTTATTTTCTCTTCCTCTCTTTTTCACTCCTTTTCAAAGGAAAAAAAAAGTCTTCTTTCTTTCCCCAATTCCTTTGTGACACCTAATTTTATTGGATGAAGGGGCCGGCGAACCTGGCTTGAGGCTTCTTAGTCAAGGTTTTGTAGACTTGAATTAGCACTCAAAGAGGCAAATTTTCGCGATATTTATCGCATGTGACGGGAGTCCTTTTTTTTTTTTCCTTTTTTTCACTTCATAAAAAAGGACAAAAAAGCCATTAAAAAAATCTGACATATTTTGCTAACAACCATGTGATATATTAATAAAGTATTAAATTTGTAATTTTTGATAATTTTAAATATAAAAAAAATCTGCCATATAGAATGTGAAACGTACCAATTCATGTGGAGTAGAATTATTGATCGATATCTTGCTTTATTACATTGGTCCAGGAAACACGTAATTCAATATTATGAGAATAATTATTACCTTAATAAGATTCACAAGCTGATAGACAAGAACCCAAATTGAGATTAAAACAGGTATAAATCATCTATGTTTGTGGAATAATTAGGGTAGTTTTCTTTGGTTTACTATTGTTTTTTTAATCGTAAAATCTTCGGATTTGAGCAGAGTCGTCAAACAATACAGTGGCAGAAGTGGACATATATTTACGTTGACAATTCATAGCGAAAGAAGTGATTACCTGATTGGTAGGATTTTTCATTTTTTCTTACACATTCACGTACGCTTGTTATATGTCCCTCTTCTCGTGGCGTTTCTTCTGACGGGATTGGCTGGTCATGTCACGTGTGCTGGTTCTGTAAATGCAAACAATCAGACTTCAGAACCATTGGCCAGCAGCTGTACAGTCATGATTTTGGACCAATTCCCTTTTTTTGGTTGATATTCTAAGGACCAATTCCAGAGACCACTCAGTACGGAAAACGATAAATTTTTGCTTCTTTTATTTGTTCCGTTCAAAATTCCCAGTTTGATTGGGTGTATAACAACATTAATAACCTGAAATATTAGATCAATATCATATAATTGCTGCATCAAATGAAAATGATCTGTCAATGTTAGGGGCTGCAATATTTATATTCTGCCCCTGATCTTCTCCTAGCAAAGAATTCCACCCCCCCCCCCCTCTGTTCCTTTTGCTGAAATTTAGTTTAATCGCCAATGTAAGTCTTTCAAAAAGATTTAATAATACTTTTTAATTTTTAAATAAACTTTTGCTCACCTTTGTCACATGTTTAAGCGGCTGCTTGCGTCGTGGCCCGGTGACAGGTGATGGCGCAGGGGCAGAGCCTACAAAATGTGAAAAACAGAAATGGTTGGTGGGATTGAATGGCAGAGGAGACGACACAGGGCAACTTGTCAGCCCCATCGACCGTCCATGGGATTTGCCAAGAAAATCTTTCACACTTTCCAGGGAATTGAGTTTGTCAGCTTTGTGCTGCTATCATCATTATCTAATATTTTTATGTCAAAACAAGTTTGGTGGACCATTGTCAACGTACGCCCCTAACATTAATATATTAATATATAAACACTGAAACATGATCAACTCTTTCCTCGCATACCAAAATTCTGTGATGATTGTCTCTTTAATAATTATACTACTTAAGAACTATAGAGTGCCAACAACCGAGAAACCTTAATTATTAAAAAAATAAATAAATTGTCAGTGATGTTGTGATTTGTTATTTATAAAACATCGAATTTTAGAATAATGATTATATTTTAAATTTTGATAATTTTAAATATATAAAAAAATTTATTAAATTAATAATTTTAAATTTTATAATTTAATTCAATTAATTCATATAATTAAATTTAAAAATAACATTTAAAAAATCTTGAATTTAAATTTTAGTATTTATAACTTTTTTTAATTTTTAAACTACAAACTTTTTTATAAAAAAATTAATAATTTTAGTTAAGATATTAAAAATATGAAAATTATGTAAGTTGCTAGTTAGTTTAATAGTGAAATTTTTATAATATTTGTACTAAGAAGTCGGTCACCTTTTCTAAGGATGGAAGGTTTTTAAGAAGTAAAAGATCCTAGCTCCTCTTTTTTATATTAATTCAACTAAGGCATACGATTACATTTTGACCTACTACTATGCTTGCTATATGAATAAAATTTGAATACTATAGTTTATTCTAATGTCAAAATGAGAATATTTTTTAATTAACATCACTTGTTATTTTTTACAATTATAATTAAAGTAAATTATTTTATTTAAAATATTTATAATTAATAAAATGTTTTCTTTTGATACCTTGACAATAAAATATTTTAACTTCACAAAAAATATAAAGAAATTATGACAGGTCTTACCTTTTTGATAATTTTTAATTTTTTTATTATACTCTAAGAAATATGTCACTCATTAATTAAAGTTGAATTTAAAAATATATCACTCCATTGATTTAAATTAAATTTAAAAATGATATTTTTATTATTTAAGAGTTTATTTTAAACACTAAAAATAAAAATTTTTCCATTTACAAATGGATTTTTTTTTTGCCAAATACAAATGGAATTAAGGCACTACCATATACATAATAAATAAGTATTATTATCTGCGTGCTTAATGAACACAGAAGAAAATGGCTAATTACGTTAACCGTCACCAGTGAAGGGGTTGGTAAGCAGATTTACGCTTTTGGTTAAGTCTTAAGCAAGCTAACTAGCTACGGTCCAAGTCCCAACTCCCATTGAGATATAAAGAAAAAAAAAATCGTTATCCCTGTTGCCAAACAGATATCGAAGTAAGCCTTTCTTGTTTCTTCGTCAGTTAAGAAGGATTTTTATTATTTTGAATTTGGTTTAATTTTTATAATTATAAAATTTAAATTTGATCGAAATTTTTTTAATTTTTTATATTAGAATTTGATTCGATTCGATATTATATAAATTATATATGATTCGATTCGACTCGAATTTAATAAAATATTATTTTTAAATATAAATATATATTAAAAATTAAAAAAATAATTTTTTATATAATATTATGTCTGATCATATTTACCTAAAATTTGAATTTGATTTTTCTTCAATAATATTCAATTTGATTCGATCCAAAATTTAATTAAAAAAAAATTAATCTTATAAAATCGGATCAATTTGAAATCCGTCGATTATCGACTGAACTGTCAACTCTAATTATAAACTTTGATTTGACTCTTCCTCTAAATAATAGCATAAAGATAAACATTACCATCCTCTAATTAATTAAAATTTAATATTGTGTCAAGTAATAAATTTTATTTATAAGGTTCATATTTTAAAATTATGAATTTTTATTTAATTTTTTTGTTATAATTAATTAATTACAAAATTATAATATAAATAATTATGGGTGAAATATTTTCGATGTTAATCCATTTTATTTTTCTACCAAAAGGTTACGATCAAAATGGATCACCTACTTTTTATGAATCCGTTGGAACACACTTTTGGAACTCGCGAATGCTTTTGTTATAAAAATAAATTAATAAAGTTTGATTTGATTGAAATTTTTATTATTTATTTTTTAATATAAAATGAAAGATAAAAAAAGAACAGCAAGAAAGTACCAATCAACCGATGTTCTAAAAATCAATTGAATAAATGTATTATCATCTCATTTTACAAAAGAAGAATCTTTGAACGATCAAAATACTACTAATTTATATTAATTTGTTTATAATAAATTTTTATTTAAAATTAGACTTAAATTTAAAACAATTCGAATTTGAATTATTTTAAATTCAACATAAGTAAAATTTAAGATATTTTAATTTATGCTCGCTTAAATTCGCTTGTTATTTTTTAAGAAAAAGACATTTTATATAACTGAATCAAGTATTTCAGAATTAATCCCAAATGCCTCTTAGAAATTAGATTAATCAAACGAATGGTATGAAAAATCTATGAAACTAAAAAAATTTACAGCCCAACAACCAGTGAAAGAAGTATATCCCCTATTTACAGCAGTTAAAAGAGGAGGGCAGGAAAAACCGAAGAAATGAGAGGAAAGAACTTTCAGGCTTGGGACAAAGAAAGTGCAGAACAAGGAAAACAGACTGAAACAGCAAAGTCAACAGGAAAGAAGTCTGCTTTGTGGTAGCCTTTTCTTTTTAGTACTAACAATTTCTTTTCATATAATATTATTTCCCTTCAAAGAGACAGAGGAAGGAAGACTTCCAAAAGCGGTTACAAATTATCATATAGCCAAAAGCTCGATTCCCTCTCTTCAATCCTTTTCTTTTTAATGCAAAAGCAGTAATATTTTTAACCCTTTAGAAAAAAGCTTTCAAATGTTCTCCTGTTGAGTCCTCATCCTCACCCTCTCCCTCTATTTGACTTTTCTTTGCCTTTCATTTCTTTATTCAATTGCTTGTGCAAACAAATAAAAGGCCCCTATACCAAGAAGCGGAAGAAGAGCCCCAACAAGCACAAGAAGAAGAAGAAAAAACAGTCAAAGAGAAGCAAAAAAGAGCTCTTTTAGTAGACACCAGCTCCATTCAGCATCAGCAGAAGCAAGGCCGTATTTTGGCCTTTGAATTAATCTTTTTCCTGTGATTCTTTTATACCCAGTTTTTGTTTTTGCTCATTTTTATGGCTTGGAAGATTATAGCTTTTGGGGTTGTGGCTTAAAGGGTTTTTCTTTAATGATCTTTTTGTGGGTTTCTGATGCTGTAGGAAAGGTGACCAGGAACTTGATGCTGAAGAGAAATTAGTCAGTCAAATAAGAGGTTTTGCAGAATTTTTATTTTCTATGGGTTGGTTGTGCTGCTTTAGTTCATCTCAGGTAAAATATATATGCAGTACTCTTTTAAGCTTTTCTTAATGTTTCCATATTTGGGTAAATAAAACTTAATTAACTTTGTGATGAAGCTTGGTATTTTTTTATGGGTTAGTTGTGTGATTAATTTTGAGGTTACGTTACTTGATTTCTGTAGGTATCTTGTATGAGCTAATTAGGAGTTATGAATTTGGGTTGCACGAAAAGTTCTAGTGAGATTAGAATTGAATAACTCTTCTGCCTATTGACAGGATTAATCATATTAGATGTGTGTTGGGGTTACAAGTATTTTGCATAAACACTTCCTAATAATGAGCTCAATGACATTGAGTCATTGATATGTCTTTTGTCAACTGCAATATTACATTGCTTAACCCTTTTCTAGGAGCGGTAGTGTGGAGTAAACGGAAAAGACCGTGCCTAACTTGGTAAACCATTTTAAAGTCTTTATATATATATATATATATATATATATATATATATATATAATCTTGTAGTGCAGTTTAGACTTCAGATAGTAATTCATATGTGCAGCAGTTTATGCAATTACAGTGTGTTTTCATATTCTCTCTCTGCTCAACATTCTGGTTTAAGAAATTCATCATATGATTCTATATATAGATTAATTATGAACTGTCATTACACAGCTTGTCTAGAATGGAAATTTGAATCAACTTTCCATGGTAGAACTGCTTGGAAGGAGTTGCACTCTTGGTTTTTTTTCCCTTTTTGTTGGGTCATCTTTTTCCTAATGTTCTGTTGATGCAGCATGTTTGATGGTTTTGATAACTGGATTGGGTTAAGCTTGCTTTTGGTGCTGTTAAGCCAATGCGAGGTTTACAATGAGACTTATTATTACTATTTTATCATTTTAGCTCGGAGGTGGGCATTCATCATCTAGTTCTGGTAAGGGGAAAAACCTTCAGGGTATGATAAGGTTTGGTTTCAGCCTAGTAAAAGGGAAAGCTAATCATCCTATGGAGGATTATCATGTCGCTAAGTTCGTGCAGATTCAAGGACATGAGTTAGGGCTTTTCGCTATCTACGATGGTCATCTGGGAAGTAGTGTACCTGCCTACCTACAGAAGCATTTGTTTGCTAATATCCTAAAGGAGGTAGGGTGTGCCATATCATTTTTAAAGGGGTAATTACATGTTTTGGTTTATTACTTTCAGCTCAACATATGCTTACATTTTCTCACTTGTTCTAGGAAGAGTTTTGGGTTGACCCCTGCAGAGCAATCTCAAAAGCTTATGAGAAAACGGACCAGGCAATTCTTTCACATGGCTCTGACCTGGGTCGTGGTGGGTCCACTGCTGTAACTGCAATATTGATAAATGGAATAAGGCTATGGGTGGCAAATGTTGGAGATTCACGTGCAGTTCTTTCAAGCGGGGGTCAGGTAAGGCAGATGACTACAGATCATGAACCCAACACTGAACGAGGCAGCATTGAGAACAGAGGAGGATTTGTCTCAAATATGCCAGGTCTTTTGCTTCATCCAATTTTTAGGAGTTCGGTCTATCAGCTCATAGACATTTAGTCAAATATGGTCATAATTCATAACTAATGTTTTGGCGAGACATTTGAATGGTCAAATCTGCTGATTATCTTTAAGCAGTTTCACAGCTTCTAATTCTTAATACTTTTGTGTAGTAAGCTCCTAAATGAACTTGTTATCTAAAAAGGCTAAAACTTTACCATATACTCATTTCCAGTTCTGCAGTTCCTAGTAAGTAAATAAATGTCCATGTAGTTTCAATCCCCAATAAGACACCAGCAGTTCATTTAGTTAATCTCTCTACCAAGAAAACATCAATTACATTGAATAGGATGTCATGTCATCACCATTGATTAGCTTGTACTTGTCTTCTTTTTTCTTCTCTTTTTTCGGTTAATTTGAATAAAGCCTGGTCTAAACTCTGATGGAGGCAAATGTTTAATAATTGGTTGAATTTATTGATTATTGCCAAGTATTAGTTAGCTTGTTAAATCAATTAAGATGATAGGCTGTTTTTCTTTTGTTGCTGCGAGCCAATTGTAGGAATAAGTTAGATTTCAATTATTGATTCTTCTTTCATAACTACATTCTATCCTGTATTTAGCTTCTGCACCTTGTCAATCAAGGGAATACGTAATTTCTTTGAGTTTTTTCTGACCTCATTGGAAACCATAAAGTGTTCGCCTTTTTCTTTTTTAACTTTCACCTCTTTCACGTTTCCATCACCAGTTGAGGTTCTGCACCGTAAGTTCCTCTTCCTTGTTTATAACAATTTAAGGATATCTTATAAGGCATGTCTTTGTGTGGGTTATGAAGTACAAATGCATGAGGCTTAGTAGAGCCATTACAAATGTGGAAACTGTCATCATTTTAGGTTATGATAATGACTCTGTTAGAGTGGTCACTTTACTCTAAAAATCTAGATGATGGGCTTCCTTTGCATTTCTTGATGTAGCCAATTGAAAAGGAAACCGTAAGTAGCTGTCTTTCTATATATTTTATTATTTTGCTTCTTATTTGCTGGCCCTGAAAATACATGCTAAACATACAACGAAAGAAATCAAGGCTCAAAAAATCAGTTCAGCTAATTCTAATTCATAGAAATTTCCACAATCGAGTGAAACTTAATGCTCTTGCTCTTGTTGGGTGGATTTAACTGCATCATTTTCCTTGTGTGAAAACTTCATTTCTTATATGCAGTTTTCATTTCTAATATGCTAATATGATGAGAAAGATTAATCAAAATGCATAACACAGAAATTGACAATTTTGTAGCTTTATTGAGTAATAACATCCGGTATCTTTTCTTTGGTAAGTTTTGTATGCTTTGACATCTGTTGTTAGTTGAGAAAAAAAGTTCGGAGGTTGGCTGGTGTTTGTGAGATTGTTAAATTTTCTATTTTGCGTGCTATCAGGAGATGTTCCTAGAGTTAATGGACAACTGGCAGTTTCACGTGCTTTTGGGGACAAGAGCCTTAAATCACATCTGCGATCAGATCCAGACATTCATAACACCAACGTAGATAACAGTACTGAAATTTTAGTCCTTGCGAGTGATGGTCTTTGGAAGGTAAATCATCTTTGTTTGATGTCTACTCTACATGCTGCATCCTTATTATCCACTTATTTCACATGTAAAGAATTGTCTCAGTAATGCATGAGCTGGAAATAGTTCTGTAGGAGTTATTTTTCCTTTTGCCTATGCTTAATCCAGGTGATGACTAATCAAGAGGCTGTTGATATTGCAAGAAGGTTCAAAGACCCACAGAAGGCCGCAAAGCAACTAACTGCTGAAGCAGTTAAAAGAGACAGTAAAGATGACATATCTTGTGTCGTCGTTAGATTTAGGGGATAGAACCATTTAAATCATATTGCTATCCCGATGCAGTACATACCTGAAATAAGAGTTTGTTTACACAGGATGCCAATTTATGGATTAGAACATGAAAAGGCATACCTGCTTGGGGTAATCCTTGAAGTTCTGCAGAAATCAAGGCTTGCAATTTAATGAAATCAGTCAAAAACAAAATACAGTATTTGCCTCGTGTAAATTCGTTTTATCGATTAGGTTCTCATGTTTTGATATTGTTTGATTTCTTTACGAAGGTGATCAGAAATTCAATGTATATTGTTATCACACAATTTATCGAGTCTTGTGTGTAGATGAAGTTGTCCTTTTTGTTGTGACTGGAGGAACTTACATGTTGTGGTTCAATGTAGTTACCGTGAAGGCTTTATATATGTGCCTTTTTTATTTGAAGCTGGCTGTTGACAATCACATGGTCAGTGCATGACCTGGCCTGGATATCAGTTACCAAAAATCTAAAATGCATCCGATGGAAGGATTGCTTCTTATAGTGATGAAATGAGCTAGAATATTTTATCCAAAAAAAAAAAGACCTAGAAAGAAATCTACTTCTGGGGTGTAATAGATGTACATAATGGCATAAATTTTTTTTTTTATGAAACATAATAATTTCTTCTATTAATGAAACACTTTTAAAATCAGAAAACGTAATCAACTTAGGAAAATGGAAAATAATAACTGCTACTATACGAGCATTTTTATTTCTAGGCCCAAAAGAAAACCAAAGCTCCCATAGGCCAGATTTAGTAATGGGCTTTTATGGGGAGGTTTATGGCAAGATAGCAAAAACGTCAGGAAGCAACCAATGAAATATATATGGACTGAGGTGGGCCCAAAAATGAAGCTGAAGCAACCACAGCTGGTGGATGAATAATCACCCATTAGGGTTTAGTCCTCCATGGTTCACTATAAATATATCTCATTAGAGTAGGGATTTATCCTTACTATTCTTTCTTCTTTGTCCTGTCTGTCCCTTTTTCTGGTTCCTTCTTTTTTGTTAATCTGTATGTTGAAAGTTGTTTTGTTTAGAAATAGATAAGTTGATTCGTAATGAAGGATTGGATTTGGAATTTGCCTCTCCTTTCGGCTGCAAGAGTTTGAGATCTGAGGATCGATTTCTTGACGGCTTTGTTCTGGAGGCATAAACTGATATAACCAACCAAAGAGCCTTGAGGGATTTAAGATTATTTGCATCTTCTTTTGCTTCTCTGGCTCCCCGTTCTTTGGTACATCCTTAAAAATGTCATTCCAAACAAACGTCTCTCTCTCTCTTTTTTTTTTTTTTTAAGTATTTGAAGTTAAGAAAATTAACCAAACTTGCGTTTCTATCACCATTGAATGACAGTTTCAGTATATTGTTTGAGGTCTTCTCCAAATTCGTGGACTTTCGTGTGCTTTCAGTGATGGATTGTTGTATAGATTTTGAAGCTTGGCTTATGGAATTTGTATAAAAGTTAAAAATATGATTAATGATGAAGTAATGCAATAAACTGTTACAACTAGGTAATTCAGAATTGGAAACTATCAGCTATATGACACTTTGTACTGGAAATTCATCCTGCTCCTGGAAAAAGAGATTCTGGGGACCTGGGCTGAGATGGTTCCCAGCTCTTTTTATCAATAAAAATTTGATGGACAATTCTACGAGAATTAACCCAAAAACACTCCTCATCCAAATATTAAGCACATCTAAAATTCAAAATACAAATTAAGCTTTTTCTCATTACACCCCATCTCAATCTTTCGTTTTTTCAATTATACCCTTTGATACCCATTTAATCCTTTCTTCTTCGTTTTCTCCTCTCTTTCAATCTTTCCACCTTAAACACACCCTAAATTCACCTAAAATCATCAATCAAACTCTTAAATTATAAGTTTCTGATTATTCGATCTTAAAGGTAAATTTTAGTTGATTGTTTTGATGTAGGGTGAATATGGATTTGCGATTCTTTTTCGTCAAATTGTACACGAAAATGAATTTTCGTAAAGTTAAAAATATTTACAGATTTAAATTTTGGTAGGCTTTATAAAACTAACAATTCCACAAGCATCATCAGCTATGAAATGATTATGGAAATTCAAATTTGTTAGCCTTATGTAAGGCTGACTGAAATCTGTTTTCGTAAATTCAAAATTGAAATCAATACCCACTTAAATTATATTCGAATACTAATAAAAATTAGTTGCTCTAAGATAAAAATAATTGTTTTAAAGATTTTTGGTTTGTGATAGAAATATAAGGTTTGCGATACCCAAGAGGAAGGAAAAAAAAAAAAAAAAGGAGAAGAAGGGAACAAAAAGTGAAAGTAGAAAAAAGATGTACGAGGGTTAAAAACGTAATTTAGTAAATGATAAATAAGTTATTTGTGGAGTTCTAAATACATCTCATTTTTCTTCTAAACACACTCCATTTTTTTTTTAAATTTTTTTGTAAGTTAAATTATTCAAATACCCTTTTTATAAGTTTTCAAATATTCATTATTTTTGAACAATTATAATATTTCTTGAAAATATGTTTTCAAAGGTGGAAAAGTGAAAATTTATAAAAAATTTACAAAAAAAAAATTTCATTTAAATATTTAAATATTAGTGTAAAAAAAGTTATTATTAAAAAAATGATAAATTTTAAAATTAATAAAAAATTACTTTTACTATTTTAATTTTAGAAAAAAAATCTTATTAGATTTTAATTAAATATTTTATCTCTTGATGTTATCAAATGTGATGAAAAAATTATCAAATTTAATCAACGTATAAGAGTTGAAACTCTTTAAAATTATATAAATAATACTATTAAATACAATACAATTTTATCAAAATGCTACAAAATTATTATTGTCATGTCTTAAACCTCGTACGAATTTGAGAACCGATAGGAAGGGTATTGGAAGAATTAGAATTAACTCAAAATTAAAGATTTTCTTGACTAGCATTGTATACTTATGAATAAAGAAACAGTATAAATAATACCATTGAATACTACATAATTTTGTCAAAATCTAATATTCTGATTGGAGAAACCTATTGTAATAAGTAGATGGAGAGACTTCTTTAACGAGTTCAGTTTAATTAAAATTATTATAAAATTTTAATAATTGATAAAAAATATTTATTAAAAATTATAAATTTTAAATTTGTAAAAAATATATTTTTATTTTATTTTTAATTTAATTAGGATCTCATAAGATAATTTTTTTCTCTAAGATGAAAATAGTAAAAGCAATTTTCTATTAATTTTAAAATTTATAAATTTTATTAATAACTTTTTCATTACACTTATTTATAAATAATTTTAACAAATTTTTTTGAATTTTTAATAAAATTTCAATTTTAACACTCTTGAAAATATATTTTCGAGAAGTTTTATGATTTTTTAAAAATATATTTTTGAGAAGTATTATTTCTCAAAAAAGCATTTTTAAATAAATTTTTAAAAGTTATAAAATTTGTAAGATGGGTATTTAATAATTTGACTTATAAAAAATTTTGAAAAAAAAATGAAGTGAACAAAGAAAAAATGTGTGTGCATTTAAAATTTCTTTAAATTAATTTACTTATGGGTAATTTTGTAGTAAAAGTTTAGGAGTGTATAAAGAATTATTTGGGGTATTTGTAATCACCCAAATTGTAATTCCTTTGTCCAAATTACTATTTTTGATGAAGTGGAATTACAATATTGGTCCATGCAAATTGTATGACAAAAAAAGTTAATATCATGAATAATTTTTAAATTATAGTTAAATATTTAATATAATATCTGATTTTAAAAACTTTTAATGCGATATTTGAATTACAATAATTTTAATGTAATTAACTTCAAATGATAACATAAAATAAATAAATAATTTTTTAAATATTACATTAATCAATATATTTATAATTTAAATATTTTATCAAAAATTTTTAAAATATAAGTATAACATTAAAATTTTTTACCATAATTCAATTTGAAGTACCATATAAATAATTTTTAAATTTAACTATCATATTTAATATTTTATTGTAATTGAAAAAATAAGTCGTGATAATTGAAAAAAATAATGAGTGTTATATCTTTCAAGTTTACCAGAGACACATAAGTTTAGCTTCATAACCAAAATATATGCGAAAATCAGGTGGACTTTTAGGATACATATTTCCCATGTTTCTCTTGCAACCAATAAGATCAGAATCAAATCATTGTCCGTCTTGCTCTGTCTGATTCTTCAAAATCAATAGTTTCAGGGTAATCTATATTATATACTCCAACCACGGCCAGAGCAGCAATGGACGTTTTATGAACTCGAACGATTGGATGCATCAAACTTCAAAAATTTACAGACACCCCAGAGTCTTGAGAGGCCTGCAATAAACAGTTTCTTTAGCCAATTTTTTTTTTATTTAAACAATTTGCATTCTCTAATTAAAATCCACAATCCAGTGCTGCCCATTTTGAGCTTCAAGGGGCAAATTTAACAAGGAAATCAGTGACATCATGGCATCCAGCTACAAGCCTAAAACGTCAAATATAGAGTATAAAAAATTGCAGACTTCACGGTGCGGGCTCAACGACTTTTAGTCTTGTGGAGGGGTTTGCAACACGTTTAACATAGTTATTGGGTTTGGGTTGCGTGCCTGTTTTCACTTGTGAGAATTTTGCTATGGACATCAGCTTTATGCATCAAACATTGACACGGATCCAAACTAATCTTCTGGATTTGATTTTTCTACTACTACTACTGATGAAATCCTACTCAAAATGCAAAATACAGAGAAGAAAAAAAAGCAGCTGATCGTAAGGAGGAAATAGGAATTGATTATTCTTTAGGGATTAGAAAAGCAAAAAGACAACATAGTGACACAGACCCACATGGTCCAGACAACCATGTCTTGCTTCGGAAACTAAATTCCATCTTTCTGAGCCATACGCTATCCTACCCTCCAATCCTTTTCTCTTTCTTTCTCTGGTCTTTTAACTTTACAGCAGTTAATGGTCAGAAACAAAACCACAACCTCAGCAAAAAAAAATAAAAATGGAGCGGCTGCTGGAAGAAAATTGACTTCCATCTTGTCGGACATGTTCATATTGCAACTGCTTTCTCGATGAGTTTTAACAGCTCTCTCAAATCGGACCAAGATCTAAATTAACTCTTCGATTCTTTATTGGCCAAAAAAAAAAAAGGACTCTTCTTTACACCAACAAATACAGTTTTTATTTGTCAAATAGTAATATGGCCCTCTCAAATTACATAAACTAAACCAAAATCCATCACATCAAAGTTAACAAAGAATGATTTCACTCCCTTAAAGAAATTCCTGGTCGATGATTTCATAGTTTTTGAAGATAAATGACAAGGTGTTTCAGCTTAACCGAAGCCAAAAACTGGTGCTACAGATCATCCTTCATCAAATCAGGGCTTCGATCCACCATCACTGATCTCCAAGATGGCACCATCATGCACTGTTGGGTCCCCAAGACCCGCAAAGACTCCAAACCTAACCTCCTCCTTATCCATGGATTCGGTGCCAACGCATTGTGGCAATGGGGTGACACCCTTCGTCAGATGATCCCTTACTTCAACATCTTTATACCTGACCTTCTCTTCTTTGGAGACTCCTACACGACTCGACCTGAACGCTCAGAGTCATTCCAGGCTCAGTGCGTGATGCGAGTTATGGAATCCAACTCGGTGAGGAAACTCAGTCTTGTAGGACTGAGTTATGGTGGGTTTGTTGGGTACAGTTTAGCAGCGCAGTTTAGTGAGGCTGTTGAAAGAGTGGTGATATGTGGCGCTGGAGTTTGCATGGAAGAGAAAGATTTGAAGGAAGGTGTTTTCAGGGTATCTGATTTGGAAGATGCTGCTACGATTTTAGTACCTCAGACGCCTGAGAAGCTTCGGGAACTCACGGTTTTGGCCCTGTTCAAGCCTCCCCCTTTGAGTTTGGTACCTTCTTGTCTGCTTGCAGACTTCATTGACGTAAGTGAACCAACAATTTAGCCACTAGAGAAAGCACAAGTTTCTGATAGATAACCAATTGGGTTTCAACTTGTCAGCTTTTCATTTTGGAATGTCTTCTATTATTATTATTTGTGTTTGTTTTTGATGTTTGGGCATACGGGCAGGTGATGTGTACCGAGTGTACACAAGAGAAGAAAGAGCTGATCCGAGCTATCCCTAAAGATCGAAACATGTCAAACATTCCCAGAATCTCTCAGGTTTCATCTTTGAAAGAATTTCTTTGTTTTTTCTAAGCCAAATTTTTATCAACCATTTTTCTGCTTTATAAACAAAGTTGCTTCTGCTAATTTTATGATTCTACTATCCAGCCCACGTTGATGTTGTGGGGAGAATATGATCAAATATTTCCATTGGAATTGGGTCACAGATTAAAAAGGTAAATGTCTGCCCTGAAAGCTTTTGGCATAAAATTACTTTGTTTCCTTCTGGCTTTCTGCTGACCAGGGAATTGTTGAAATTTTTAAAAATGTAGGCATCTGGGGGATAATGCTCATCTAGTTGTTATGAAGGACGCGGGACACGCCTTCAACGTAGAGAAGCCCAAGGAGTATTACAGGCATTTGAAATCATTTCTAGTTGATTTGCGGCCTCCTCCAGCGAGTCCACCTCCCAGAATGAAAACAATAAGTCATCTTGCAATGCAGCAGAGGTACAACCTTGAAAGTGAAGTGCAAGTGCAACAGCAAAGTTTTTATACACATTTCTTTTGCCATTGTAACTTCTGCAGAAAAAATAAGTGAACATCTCATTCCATAGAGAAACACAGAATCTATTGGGCTTTTTCAAAGGGGAGTCTCTGTTAGATGCTGCCATTTCTTCGGGGCATCAGGTGCTTTTTTGTATTCTTAGGGGGAACCAATAGTAAAAGTTCCTGCTAAGCTGTTTTCTTTTTCCTTTTTTTTTTGGGTTCTAGCTAAATCATTAAACGGTGGTTTCGCATGCTTAAAAATCATCCTCCATGAATTAATTTCAATCATTATTTCTCAACGTAGGTTATCATTCTGTGACCATTTACAATCAGGTTAATGCCCCTAGAATTACCCAGAGCAATTTCTCACCTTATGCTCTCTCAGCCGACTTTCATCTCTTGTGCAAAGCCAGTGCATCATTGCCAAAATGGATGTTTGAAATTTAACACTGACCCATTTCATGAACTTTGCAAAAGGTTCCAGCACAAAATCAACCATGCTGCTCCACAAATATCTAAGCCCCCTGTTCCTAAAACTTCTCAAAAAATGAATATCAAATTGGACCTTTAAGCTACGGTTACGACCAAATCTATGCACGGGCTGGGAAGCGCAAAGTGCGATTATAAATTGAAGAATGAGCAAAGTGAAAAGCTAATCACACATCAGTTAGCAACAGATGGAAAAACAAGCTAAGACAACAAATAAAATTGAAACACATAAGAAAATAGAGGTCACATGACTATAAAATAACAGATTCAATTATGCTTAAACAGTAGAGAACGCAGGGTAAAAGTTTGAAAACATCTGATGAACAAATTGATAAAAGCCATAGGTTACAAGTCCTGGTACTACTAGTAATAGGAGTTGAAAGCAGGTCACTCTAGCAGCAAGCCCTTTCCAACCTCCACAAGCCCAGTCTTGAATACTCTTCCATTCAATTAACTCTGCAAAGATTGGGAACAATAAAAAAAAAAAAAAGAGTTTCTTTATTGAGAGCGAAAGGAAAGAGTGAGAAACCAATCAAGATTTGCACCACTGTGGACATCTAACATGCCAGAGATAAACAGTCAGCGGTTGGTCAATGATTAGTCCAACTTAAAAATTGTTCAAATTTTGACATTTTCTTACCTCTGCCGGAAGTTCTTCTGCTTTTGATTGCTCACCTGGAATATCAAATAAAAAATTTGCAAAATGGAATGTATCAGTGGCAGTTGACAATAGAAATTGTTAATACCAGAAGGTGATTAGTAGGAAGAGGTTATGCTCCTTGAAACTAACCATCAATATATAATATCCAGTCAGACAATAAGCAAATCATAGCAATCCAAATGTGCACAAACATATATATTCACATATTAAACGGCATACACACACGCAAAGACTTACCTCCTTCCTCAGGCAGATCCGAGGTCCATAAGGTGAGATTATCCCTGAGAAGCTGCATGATAAGGGTGCTATCCTTGTAGGATTCCTCATTAAGGCTATCAAGCTCTGCGATAGCCTCATCAAATGCTTGTTTAGCCAGATGGCAAGCCCTGCTCAGATATTGCATCACATTAGATAGAAAGTGTAACTTGTACCAATGGCTTTGTGCTTCTTCTATTTATTAAAATAAGTAAACAACAAATAACAGCTATTGAGGAAACTATTTCTGAAATTAGCACTAAACGAAAGGAATGTTAGCATTGTCATCATTCTCCCCAATGAAAAGAAAATTTTCAAAGTGGATAATATGTATGTGTTCCAAGTAAAAGAGAGAGAGAGAGAGAGAGAGAGAGAGAGAGAGAGAGAGAGAGAGAGGGATGCATCCTAACCTCTCAGGAGAGTTTAATATCTCATAGTAGAAAACAGAGAAGTTCAAGGCCAGGCCAAGTCTAATTGGGTGAGTTGGAGGCAAATCTGAGCTTGCAGTGGAAGTGGCAGCCTACAATATAAATAATAATAAATACTGCTCCAACTTCGTGATATGAAATCAAAATAGGAGAAGAGGGCTGATAAAAGGTAAAAAAGAGAGAAAATAAAAAAAAAGGAAAAAGGGGCGTGGGGGAAGTGTCACACCTCATAAGCCTTAAGCGACTGATCAGCAGCTTCTTTGCGTTCCTCTCCTGCTTTAAATTCTGCCAAATAACGATAATAATCTCCTTTCCTGGTAAAGAAAAGGCAACAAATAAGAATATATCCACAACTAATGCCTATAAGAACAAACAGGCAAGCAAGATATTCCTCACATCTTATAGTAGAAAACTGATGATTCCCCTGATCCAGAAGATGGGATGAGGTGATCATCAATGACAGATAATATATCATTGCAGATCTTTGAAAGCTCTTCTTCAACCCTGTGCCTGTACTCCTTTATCCTCTTCACATTTTGTTCATTACCCTTGGCCTCCTCCTTTTGTTCAATTGAAGACAAAATCCGCCATGATGCCCTTCTTGCTCCAATCACATTCTTATATCCCACAGATACCAGATTCCTCTCCTCCACAGTCAGTTCAACATCCAACTTAGCAACACTCTTCATGGCCTCAACCATCTCTGCAAGAAAAAGATCTTTCATGATTCAGCACAGATTTTAAATGAGGTAAAATTTTCCAACATACTAGTAGACGAGTCCCATGGATGATCACAACTACGATCCAACTATTGTTTCCCTCTGTTTGAATTTTTTTATAGTTGAGGTTACTAGGACTTGAACCCTAATCACTGAAACTAAGAGTCCAACACTATAATCAGACCACGTGGCTGTTTTATATGCTTTTGCTACTTAATTTTTACCATTACTTTTTCATTTATTCAAAAGTTGTTAAAAAGTAAAAGCAAATACAGTAAAAAAAAAAAACAAAACATATTTGATTGAAAATGAGCACTTGCTTTAAACATAACACATTTCTTTTTCTTTTTGGTTTTAATCAGAAACATAAGCATTTCAAACATAAAGATTTCACAAGAAAGAAAAATGAAGCATTTCGTTATTCCACCAAGTTCAAACTTTGATTAGTCAAAAATTACTTTTTCTTTCGTATCATATCACACTTTTCTGTTCCTAGGCAAGCTAATCCTGTCTCCTTTACTATCCATCTACTGCTAAAAATTGGGAAAAAAAAAAAGCTTTAACAAAAGAAAATGAACTGATTTACTTTCACTCCTCGACTTCATCGCATATTTTCAGTATATTATCATCAAATCGGTACTAAATCCTCTTCTACCCTCTATACTTCAGATCATTAAGCTACAAAACCAACTAAAAATGCAAAAAAAAAACAAAAGAATTATCACAAAAAATTAAAATTAGCAATTAAATAAGAGAAATTAAAGGATTAAAAAATATTCCTTCATGCATTGATAAAAATATATAAATAAATAGAGAGATCCCAAAAAAATGAAGTAGAATCAAAGGGAAAAAATATATCTATATCTCCACAAGAGACTCAAAAAATTAAAAGTTTACCGTCATATCTTTCAGCTTGCTCAGCGAGTCTTGCCAAGTAAACTTGTTGCTCTCTTTCCTTCTCCATCGCTTCTTTCTCTCTTACTTTCTCTCCCTTTTAGTCTTTGGTCTTTAGATTTTTCTGTTTGGGGAAGCTGGGGCAAAGGAAGGTAAACTGCCTTTTGGGAATGCCGTACTTTGTTATCTGACCGTTGGATGTCCTTTGCTTGGGAAGGGCCAATCGACGGTCCAAATTGACTTCTCTTTGGGGACTTTCGAGGAAAAAATCGAAATAATAAAAAAAAAACCCTTGGAAAAGTTGAAATGTTTGGTGCGGGTGAGGTGGAATCAGAGGGGTGCATCTGAGATCTTTAACAGAAGTATTGGCCGTTAGATTGAATATCATGATCACATGGGTTTTAGCGATGTTGACTCGGACCAGTACTCATTGTGATCCAATGGAGTCCACACTCATCTTCGACTTTGTCAGGTTCCTTGGATACAGTTAAAATTTACTACTAGTATTTATTTTCCATGTCATTATGGAACATAAATGTAAAAAAAATCTAACTAGTATTTTTTATTTAGTATGTCAATTTATTAATTATTTTTATATATTTAAAAATATGCGATAACATTTTAATGTTATTAATAAAATAACGATTCGATTTAAATCGTGTTTCATTATTAATTTTATTAAATTTCATTAAACCGAATTTAATGTCTAATATTGTTTCAGTTTTGTCGCCATCAAAATGGAAAAAGTTATTGTTATTTTTTAACTTTAATCCTATTTTTGTCCAATTTTATTTTGTGAAAAATACTACTAATTTTAATCGGCAGAGATGCATGACTGTTGCCATCTTCAGCTTTTCCCGCCACAGCATCTTTACTCAATCCCTCAATTTTCTCACCAACCAAACAACAGAAAACTGTTTTAGGGTTTTTTTCTCCAAACCCAACCGAGCATTTCCTCTTTCTTTTCTTCGCAACCAAACAGATCACCATTACCCCTCTGTCGTTCTTGATGGCAAATCCCGGTGAAGACTTCTCTCAATTCGATATATCAAAAGAGGTACTATTTTTTGCTTCAAAAATTTTTTATGATTTTTTTCAAATTTAGTTATTCAATCTGTTAAAAAGTTTGTTCCTTTTTCTTATTTTGTTTTTGGTAGGAAAAAGACAAGCTTGTTGCAGAAGTAATTCGTTACATACTGTTTAAAACACACCAGAATTCAGGATGTCCAATTAAAAGGGAAGAGCTTTCTCAATTAGTTACTAAAAACTATCGTCACCGTTTACTTCCTGCTTACATCATTAACGAGGCTAAAGACAAACTCTCCGCCATTTTTGGTTACGAGTTGAGGGAACTTCAAAGATTACGTCCTTCTTCAACAAATCAAGCCCGATTATCTCAGCAGAGTAACAATTTATTACCACTCTTTGTTTGAATTTTCACAATTCATATTAATATTTGCTCTAACTATAATTTCAATGGTGTATGTTGTTTTTAAGGTGGAGTTGATGCTAAATCCTATGTTATCGTCAGTCAGTTACCAGCTGAGGTGTATAAGAAATATGTTGAGGATGTGAATACATCTCATCTGACTGGTTTTACTTTTGTTGTGATTAGTATTGTGCACCTTGCTGGAGGCAAAATCGCAGAAGGTACATATTATTGATCTATATATGAACTTTAAAATTTAGGGTACTAACTTTTGAAACCAAACTTGCTGTATGTATATGGGAATCTGCCTTTCTTTGTTTTATATATTTGTCAACCTTATGCTTAGTAGGCTGTCCTGTTTTACATCACTCAAGTGAATTTATCTAGCTGAAAGGTGTTATCGCATGTTTACATAGTGTTTTCTTGATTTATGGTGTAAATTTGTTTCCTGTGTTTTTCTTTTTTTCACACACAAACTACCTGTGCAGAAAATCTTTGGCATCATTTGAAGAGAATGGGATTGCATGAAGCTGATGAAAACCATCCAATACTTGGGAATGTGAAGCAGGTAGTGGAGACACTAGTCCAGCAAAGGTTAGGATGTATCTGATAGTTTGCTGTTTATAATGCTTTTTGCTTTCAACAGCCAATTGACTTGGACAGTTTATTAATGGCTATTCCTGTATTCTTCTTGTAGATATCTGCAGAAAGACAAGGTTAGTGGCCCTGAAGGTACTACCTTGTTTTATGAGCTTGCTGAGAGAGCTCTAGATGGACCAGTTAGTGAGAGAATTAAGCAATACATATCACAGGTATTGATGCCAAATACTCTGGCCAGTGTTTATGTCTATATTTATTTACGCATTGCACGTTCTTTATAAATGGTTTTACGCTGCCTTCTTGATCAGGCACTGCTTTTCTGTCTGATAACTTGAGTTTTTTCATGTAAATTTGATTTGGGCAAGTTCCATCGATACAGCTGCTGATGGAGCTTTTCCTTTCCATTGATAATTGTAGCTCTGTTTTGTCATATGTGTTGATTAGAAATGATATATTCAATGTTATATTGTTGTTGCTTCAATGTGCGAGTATTTTCTATTGGAGACTGTACTTTTTGCACAATACAGCTGCAAGAAACACTCTACGTATCAGTAATAATTTGTACTTATGTATGATCATGTTTACATTCATGAAAATGGTACAGATACCGATTGGAAATGATAGATTCAGTCGTTGTTGCTTTTATTTTTGTAGCTATTTTTTCTTTGTTTGGAGCAACTTGTGTGAACACAATACTCCCACTAGAGCTTTTCCGCTTCATTGACAACATGCAAACCTGCATATATTTATGTTTCCCGTCCATGGACCTTCATTTACAGCAAATCCACAATGCTTTACTGGATAAGTTTTAGGGAAAATATAGCTACCTCTCTGTGCACAACATAGGTACCAGTTAATTCCAAAGAATCTGAATCCTGCTGCCGCTTTTCTATCATAGATATTTGTTGACCTTAGTTGTGCTAGAAGAAAGAACAGGGATGCCATGGAGAAGCAAGTGACCTGTAGTGGAACCTTGAACTTTCTATAATGGGTTTTCATGATCATTTGACGTTGCTATGTGTCACTTGCAAACTCAAGTTCATATTATCATTATTGATAGCACTAACCTGTGGGGATGTCTTTTGTTGGCAGATTGTGAAGAAAGAAAGTGCCACCGTGGATGTCTTATAATGGCTTGATGCTAGCTATTACTGAGTAACTGGGGTAGATATTCCGCCTGTTGTTCCATGGCTAACTCATTGTTGACTGAAGCTCAGTATGGATGTTTGTTTTCTCGTGCAAGGTTTAGGAGCCTTTCTAGGTGCTGCAGCTTTTGATGTTGTTTGTGTTCATTGTTAGCCAGGCATACTCCTGTCATTAATGTACCACCAAGAGATAGACAAGGGTTTTTAAGTTGCTAGCTTTATCCTGTAGATGTTGGGATTTGAGGAGATTGGTTTAAGGCAACAGTTCCAACTGCAAATACTGATTCATTTTGGTTACAAATTATCTGTACTACCTTAAGATAACACATGCTTAAGTGGGTAGAACTTACTGTTGGTACCATAATAGGTATATCCACAGCAAGATTTTGCGTCGCTTTTAAGCGTGGAAAAGTGAATCTTCACATCTGAGCTATGCAACTGAACAAAATGGTTAATGGGTGGTCCAACGGCAGCCTATTATGGTTTACATAATCTTCAGCTCATTTTCAAGTTCCAAACAACCACCCCATCCCCCAACGCCCCAGGTAGATGATTTAAATGAGAATGGTGCACTCAAAATAACTAGCTGACAAGATTTTGCAGCTCCAAATAATAAAAATATAGCACATGAAATTACGGCCTACTTTGTTTAACAAAACGTTGCAAACATGCTTTAATAGAGCCAAAATGGCCGGTTAATGCTAGATGACGGCTACATCAATATACATTGGGGTTCTTAGTCGTAATCTGTTGACAAGATGCAGTGCCGCTTTATGGGTAAAGATGTATTCTAAATCGTATTAACAATTGAAAGTTAACTGGTAAAGGGTCAAGATACAATAACATATTTCAAATTACCATCTAAGTGGGTGTAGAGAAAAATCTGAAGCAAAAAGGCTCCTGCTTCCAAAAGATTGCAGCCAAACATTTTGTAGGAAACAAATACCGATCTCACACCAGCTAAAGAGTCAGCGACATCCAGTCATTGGCACAGCACGGCTTGTGTTGCCATCACCGATTGAAACCGTAGCAAGGGATTTAGAGGCCCATGCTCTTGCATTCATTGCACCTTGCAAATTGCTTCTCTTGCAAGGTTCCTTCAGGGAATTAAACAATTGAATTGCTCGTTTTAGATAGGCCAAAGGATGTTCCAACAAACTCCTCAACCTCACATTTCGAATGAGCCATCTCCAAGTTAACTGAGCAAATACAAGCAAAGTTGGATACAATAGGTAAAGCAATCTAAAAAGCACAAAAGTGGTAGCAAGAGCCAAATAGGTCTCTTGTCGAAGTAAATTCTCTGGAGATCTTGCCCATGAGAATGGGCAGCTTTCCTGCTCGGTGCTATTATGCTTCTCATGATTTGACAAGTTTCCAATTTCGTCCAGTGATGTTTTACCCAGAGATTTGTTCTTAATGCCTAGAACAATGCAACATAATCGTTAGAAAAATTAAACAGGAACAATAGGAATAACAAAGGGGAAAAAAAGATACCATTTAAGATAAATGGCAAAGCAAAGAGGTTAGGCATGCCTTTTATGGCCTCCAGATGCAGACTATTAATAAACACCATCACACTTTCTTTTCACTCAAATTCCCTATCTTGTAAATGAAAGCATGTAAATTCACCAAAGCCCATGCAAAGAACACAAAAATAGCTTAAGGATGTGTTTACTTTGGCATGTAGGATCATAGATAGTATATGTAATAGGATAATGCAAGATTGATGAGTTAATTGTCTTCATTCAATTTATTTTATCCCATTTTGCATTATCCTATCCATGTAGGATTATACAATCTTATGAAGAGAAGTAGGACTGCAATAATTGCACATGGATGAGATTAAGCAGGGATAAGATTGTACATTTTAGTCTTTACATACGCCAAAACTAGGACAAAATGAACACAGTTTATTGTTCAAAACAATCTTATCACTCTTATTCTATCGAATTCATAATCTTATACACTAAACACAAAAAAATACATGATCAATTGAGCATCTGACAGGCTAATCACACAACTCACTGGCTAGGACCAGAGAGAATATGAACAAAAAAAAATATAGCAAAGCAGAGAATGAAGAATGAAAAACTACATACAAAAAGTATGACATTAGCCAAAACATATGGATGGAAATTATTTCTATTTTAAATCTACTAAATAAATAAACTCAACTAAGCATAGATCTCCGTGGTTACAAAAATTTAAAGTTTCAGAACAAATGCCTTACCAGTGACATCACTATAGAATGCACCGAGAGATTTAAAAGACCGGTTTCCATGATAACGCACACGCATTGTAGAATTTAAAAGGAAAAGAGTAGGAAACCCATGAACTCCATACTTCGAGAGTATGCTGAAGAAATTAACACCACTATTTAGTTTAACAAGATATATATACTCATAGCATGCAAATACCAAATGACAGATATTAATTTGCAAACCTTGGCCTGACAGCTGATTCTTCAATGGCCAAATGGGGAATGGAAGGATAGGAAGAAGAAAGGAAAGAGAAGCTTGGCCTAAAAGACCTTGAAAAAGGGCACCAATATGCATAGAAAAGCACTGCTACATATTGATGACTATTCTTGTAAACCATGTTAAGCGCCTTTTGCAGCAAAACCTCATCTCCCTTCACAGGGACAAAGAGTAAGTATAACAAAAAATTGTACAAACAGAAAGTAAAATCAGAATTCAATGCAATTCCTAACATGGCCTTATTTCAGAAATGTTAGTTTCTTTAGACACAATGTAATGAACTGATAGAAATAAATAAATAAAACCTTAATGAAATTTATGGAATGTATATCTCCATTTCTACCAGAATCATTCATAAGATTCTTGAGAACTAATCTACCGAATTTATATAAAAAATGCAGAATTTTGAACGAATTAAATTAAAAAATCAATGAAGATACTTGTCAGTTCATTCATAATAATAGGGTCTTTTCTATAAGCTTGAAAGATTATGCTTCCATCTTTCTAAAGCGAAGTTTAATCTGACAAGCTCCCAAAATGAAAAACCCTAATCCATTCCTAATTTCTTGACTTCATATTTATCAGCTTATAACTTTAAAAAAATATATATACTTTAACTAATAATTTTCTAAAACTAGTTCAAAATATACAAAAGATAGCATCAAATGAAACAATAAAAAGATCATTTTCAAAGAAGGGATAAAATGAATAAAATTGAAAGGGAAAAAGAAGCAGATTAAAGACAAAATCTCAAGGTACCTCGGTAACACCAACGAAATCAATAGATTCAGTAAAATCAGAGTTAATGGGACAAGAGGAGTCTCGAAAGTCAAAGATCGCGTCGGAAACGGAGACCTTGGGACATAACGGAACACTAACGGGAACGGAGAAGGCCGACGTTAGCCTCCACCAGAAAACTAATATTAGGATCCTCGCTTGCCATGCCTTCGTACCCATCAACAACCGACAATGGATTGCCGATTCACACAAAATTTTTTTTAAAAAAAAAAAAGGACTGGCCAATTATTATTATTTTGCTATAAAAAATAAAACCCTAAAAAGGGAATTCAAATATTGAAACAGAAAAGGAGAAAATAGGGAGGAAAAGCGGTTGCATAAGCATTTTAACAGAGAAGATAAGCTATCATGTCTGCTTTTTTTTTTTTTGAGGGGGGGGGGGGGGTTGGGGGAATTTAATTTGGAAGGATCAATTCAAAGTTTGTCTGAAAGAGTTGAAGCAAAACCACGTTTTTGGCCACAGATAAAATATGATTTTATATATTTATTTTATATAAATTTACGAAGTGTTTTATAAATGTAGCAAATTTTATTTTTATTTAAAATCGGTTGTTTGGAATACATGAGGGAGGAAAGGAAGGAGAGGATGGGAAGAAGATGCTGATTGATTGATGATATAACAATTATGAAATTGCGCCACTACGCTACTTTCTTTTCTTTCTTTTTTTTTTTAATATTAATTTTTTTAATTGGTTATTGTTTTTGACGGTCGCTTTTATGTTATAACGCAGCTGTCTTTGCTCGTTTGTCTTAACCAAAAATATGCATGAATTGATAGGTAATGACCGCTTTTTTTTTATTTTAAATTATATTATGTAATTATATTATTAAAAATTTTATTATTTATTATTAAAACTATTAATAAATTTATGTATTATATGTAATAATTAAACAATAAATATTTATTTTAATAAATTTATTAATAACTTTAATAATATAATTAGATGATATAATTTAAATAAAATAGCTACATATATATTAAGTGAAATAATCGATTTATAGAATCTTTTTTCTTATCCTAACTAGTGCCCTTATCATTCCTTTTCAAAGCTGGCTTTTTTTTTTTAATCTCTCGTTTGCATATTTTAATTTATTACTAATTGTTGCTTGTAATTGAAATATTGAGAAACAAAAATTACTTGTGAATTGTCATTGTCATTTATACTTACTAGTAAATAAATAAATAAATAAATAGTATAGTTCCATTTTGGAAGATATTTTCAAGTGTCTATGAACGGTTATTGTCCAACCGATTAAAAGGCTACAAATTCTAGAAGTCATTGTAACTCAAAAGTATGTTTTGAAGACCCCTTATCGGGTGAGTAAACCAAATCTATCTTGGATATTTATAAACTGTGTTTATTTCTAAAGGAAAAAAAAAAAAAAGAAATTATACCGTTACCAATAGCTATAATTAGTTTTCCTTTTCAAAAGTAAAGAGTCAAATTATTATTATTATTATTATTATTATTATTATTATTATTATTTAAAAGGTTAATATTACCAGTAATGCATATTAAGGAAAAAAAAAAAGCTATAGCAATGCCTTCAAAAATTATGCTCCAAATCCCCTTTTAAAAACAATCATTTTCATCACATGGTTACGACTCACGTCACCTAGTCCATTGATGGTATCATTGCTCCTGCACCAAACATTTAAACTCTGAACTTTCAAAGTTAATAAATATGCCAACAAACATAGTACAACGCATCTGAAAGTAGAGAGGAAAAATGTCATACAAGGAACCCGATATCGTTTCTTTCCTTCTCTTCAACTGCTGGAGACTATGAAAAGCTACCTGATATCAAATACAACATAAGTTTTTGACAACTACTATTACAAGAAATCATGGAGCAAATCAGGGCTAATCTAGACCCCTAGTTTAGACTTTGACCAAATGGTAGAAAAATATAAGAGATGAAATTGGGAGGGAAGGCAGCTCGTGATATATATATATATATATATACACAAAATGAGAAGAGCCCATAGCAGCCCAATCACCAAAAAAAAAACAATTGCTGCACCAAACATTTTAAAAGCGCAAAAGTAAAACAGTAGCTAAAGTTATGCATACCAGCTAATGCCCAAGTCAGTGTGCAATGCTTTCTCCATTCTTTCTTGTGCTAGAAATAAAGAAATCACATAAGATTCTCGAAAATCAAATACCAACATAACCAATGAATAGATCATTAGGACCAACAGAACTGCACACTCTGTCTCATGCAATTACACCTGAGGATAATGTGATCAACCCATCAGCGGACTGGTTCTGCATTCCATCTGGTTTCAGCTGCTGTCTGCAAAAAATTTAGAAGTTATTAGCATACCTATATTTGTCTACCATCTTTAACGATATTTGTCTATCTTTCTCTCGTTAGGGTTTAGATGTGTCAAGGTTGAGAAGCAAGTCAAAAGTTTAATGAACGCGGATGGAAAAAAGCAAACAATATAAAGAGGCTGCCATTCTTTTCATTTCCATTCTCATAAGAATTGAGGGAGATAACAATATAGACCCAGAAAGACATGCACGTATCCAGAAAGCTTAGAATCAAATTCCAAAACACTAGCCTATTTGATCAAAAAATAACTTTGACCCCATCAAGGCAGAAATTCCCCATCAGTATCTTGTAAGGATGCCAATTGACTTATTTTGCATAAATGCATATGAACTCCAACCATTTCAGTTTATTTTAAAAAGTTGAAAAAACTGAGTGGAGTGACTAGAACATCAAATCACATCATTTGAAAGGAAAGGGCCACAGGACAAGAAAGGTTAAAGCAAATACATAATGTAAGATCCAGAACCTTCCAAAATCATACAGGAGAATACAATAAACTCTTCCAGATCCTTTAATCATTTTTTAGGGCACAACAGTTTGTGTTCAGATTGGATATGTTAATACGTAAAGATTATATTATATATTGCAATATACCACAGCCCAATCTTTAAAACAACCTTGAATGACATCAAATAGGTTGAATCCCACTGAAAGATGCTGAAAGCTATTGCAAAGTTTATTCCTCGCAGCACTTACAGCACAGACATTATTAGTTGTATTCCAGAGGATAAAAATGCAAAAAATGATATAACAAAATTTTATGTTAATGTATGTGGGGGATTGTATCATTTCCACTTAACATGTTGAGTTAAGATACTTAACCAGAATCAACTTGAACTATATCACCTTAAGTTGGGAACTATATCAATGGTTCTAACAGTTGAAATATCCTTTAAAAAATAGTAAACACATACCAATCATATTCCCGCAATTATGAAAACATGGCTTACATCCAGTAAATAATAGTCTTGTTGAGACGTGGAAGTTACCTTATAACACAGACCTTAGAAATCACACGTGAGAAGCAGTCCCTCATACAGGCTGGTATGCTTAGATGTGGAAGATACCTTATATCACAGACCTCAGAGATCACTCGTGAGAAGCAGTCCCTCATACAGACTGGTATGCTCATAGACATGATATTCTACATAAAATCATGGTTCCTAGGGAAATTAGCCTGACAGTTGGCACACATAACCATAGAGCTTCTCTGTGCCCCAATGTCAACATCCTCATGATAAAACTCAGTTCCGCACCAGGAACACAAGGTAGGGACCTGACGTCTACCAGCTATCTTAGGGAACAGTGGCAAAGCTTCCTTTCCAAGCCAAACAGAGGAATCAAACTTTAGTGCCATCTCTGAACCATATGATGATACCTTAGAGTTTCCTGGGCGAGAACTTGGTTCAGCAGTCAGAAAATTATATTCCATATGTTCTATGCTATCTGATCGCAACCCTTCAAAACCTGATACATTGCTGCACTTCCCACTAATATTGAACATTTCACTTTCACCCTGTCCATTACAACAAAATTGCACATTCAAATTTCATTAAGCAAACTAACACTAATCCCTATTTGGCATTTATTTCCTTATGTATTTAAAAGCTAAACTTAGTGGGCAAAACTACAATCAGCTATTTGGTTTCTATTGCAAAGAATATGTGCAATCAGCAATGACCTTTACTACCCCTAAGTTAAAGTTCAATATCCCACATCTTGAAAAAGTAGCAATCTAAATATAACATATGATCCTTGACACATATCATATTGTTTTCCAAGTATAATAACGGTTTAATGCTTTTTTGCATTATATCATAGCTTATAAGAGAGATCATGTCTGTACCTTATGTGACATCAGGTCGAATGTTGGGTAATAACCAGATGATGGCAACAATTGAGATGAAGTATCAGCCAAACCACGCAGTAGGACATTTCCTTCATTACTTTTCCATGTGAGTCCAGTCATGGCAACCTCAGTAGGTGGGGCATGATTGGTATAACCAATCATTATTTCATTATTCCTTGCATTCTCAAAATTCTCTAACCTAGACCCATCATGAGCTGTGCCTGCATAAACCATGTTCAAATTCTTTGCAACATGTGGTTGTTCACTACCTGAGAGGCAGAATAATTCCTCAAAAGCACCTTTATGTTGCTTTGGTTCACGGACAGCACCACTGTTGATACCAGGTACATTATTTTTACAAGCAAATTTTGCCCCATTCCCAGAAAAAAGCGGGGAACAACTTTCCTGCCCAATGCCTGTCAAAGCAAATGTGCCTAGCCTGGCATTAACATTGCCAATCAAGGAGCTTTCCACTTTGTGTTTGGGCTCCTCTATCGTAATGAAAGAAACTTTATTCCTACTAGTTTCATAGTTATTGCTGATTAGCATATTGTTCATATACACTACTCCCAGACCCTTTTTCCCATTTACACCCCTCTGGTATGGAAGTAAATGTTTTCTTATATGAAGGTGGACCAAATAGACGATCTTTAGCCCTTTCATGCTTGACACTAGCCAGGATGTTAGCATCCAATCCACTGTCACGGCTGTCCACACCTGGAATTAATCTACTAGACTTTGGGGCTTCATCAGGTTCACAAACCTCAACTGTCCGGCTAAATACCCTAAATGCATTATTGTCAGAAGGAAAGATTTGCTCCCTTCCATGTGACGTAAGCAAGGCAGTTTCACTGTTCCCTTGTGAAGGTTTCTTTATGGGGAGATAGCTTTGAAAACAAATAGTAGAGTCAATATTCCCAGTTTTGTTGACCATAATAGATTCTGGATCATCCATTGTGCCACTGGAGACAAGAATCAAATTATTGTTGATGACACATTTTTTATCATCTTTAGACGAAGTTAAACCACATCCATAACCTCTTTCCTGTGCAGAATCTATTGTAACAGAAGCGCCTTTCAAATGATCGAAGAGATTAACTCTTTCTTTGTTGCCGGAAAGGATGAGTGAACAACTTTCAGTGAAATTTTCTTGCTCAACATCAATTGTGACATTATCCAGGCCTGTGCTACTATTGGCACAACCAGCTTTTGGATCCCTCATAACTTTATCCTTCCAATCAGTTTCCATGCTTGTTGTAAAGCTAACAAAATGTCTAACCTCAATATTTTCATCACCAAACATCTTTCCCTTAGAATTTGGAGCAAGGAAACCGGTGTTTGAAGCCATCTCTCTCTTCTCCTCCATTGAGTTAAGGGCAAATCCAACATATGTTTTATCTGAAGATTGAGAAATCCCATTTTTGTCAGCAGTAAACAAGACATTTTCAGAACCCAAACAAACATTAAGATCAGCAACAGCAGCAGTATCAGTGACCTCCCCTTTATTATCAGTTATGATACCGAATTTATTTTGCTCATCACAGTTTTTGTCAGCTAAAGTTTTTTCATTCCTGTTAACCCTATCTTGTTCATCATGAGACAATAAATTGCATTCATGACGGTATTTATCAGTATATGTTTCAACTGGAGCATTTTTATTAGCTTCGCTACAAGGAAAACCAGGTCTTATTTCATTGTTGCCAGGGGAATTGAATGGCTGAATGGTGTTTTGCTCTCCAACTGAACCTTCAACCTTCTTCAAATTGTTCTTCATGTGGATCCCAAGATGGCTGCTGTAGCAATTACTTTCTTCAAACAGTTCACGACAAAACTGGCATTCATATTTTCCATTTTTTATTATCACCTCCTCAGTAGCTGAGGTGCCATGTCCGGAACTCTTTGCTGCCCCTTGGTGAGATGATAACAGATGGCATATAAAATCATCTTGCTGATTAAAAGTCATAATGCATTTATGGCATTTTATTGTTTCAGCTCTCTGGACTTCCCTAGGACTCCCCATTCTTATTATGGGAGCTCGCCTCTCATGCCCAGAAGATCTACATGTAATTGACAACTGTGGACAGCATTTAACATTCTCATCATCAATAAGCAAAATCAAGTGGAGATGAAGTATAAATGATAAATACAAGCACAATCAGAAACTTACATTTCCAGATGTTGGTTTGACACCTAAACCAATGCCACCATCAGTGTGACTCAAAGTTTCCAGGCTTGAATCTTTAATTCCACCAAAGGAGAACAAGTATGAAGAAACCTCCTTGCAGGACACAAACTGTTGCCCATTAGGGCTGGATAGTACAGAATCAGGGAAGAGAGTGTAAGAATGACACAAGCAACAAAGTTAAAAAAGAATTGAAAAGTAAAAATCAAAATAAAACACTTTGTATAATCCCAACACCCTTAGATCTCTATATCTTTTCTTTTCTTTCCTCTTTCTTTTTTTTTTTTTTGGGGGGGGGGGGGGGGCGCGGGTGTTCGGAAGGAAGGGGGTAGGAGACTGCACTAAAGAAATGTAGCAATTGGAAAAAAATTCAAAATTCAACATGTCATGAAATAACTGCTAAACTATAAATAGAAACAAACTTAGAGATGATGAACGTTCAAATATTAATATTAATATAATACAAGTTAGCAACTACAAAGATATTATCTAGTTTATCTGAAGCAACACATAAATCCAATAACTCAAATCCAACTTTTATTTAGTTCCTTTTTGGTTAATAAGTTTCCAAGTGCTCTAAAATCTCTCTTACTGGGTTTGGATGTATTCAACAGCCAACCTGAGAACTAAAACCAATAAGCAAAAATATCATACTCTACAGTCTATACAGTCATGATCATTTTATAAAAATTCAAACAAAAATATTATATAAAATTAACCCCAAAATTTGATAAAATAATGACATTTCAGAGCAAAGACTCTAGATTATTCTCTACAACAGAAACTAAAGAAAGAAAAATCGACTAAGAAAAGGAAGGAGAGAACCAACATTAGATATAGGCGTTCTATGATTCACGTAGAACATTATGCATATCCTATTTCGCAAAAAGTAAACAGCATTGATAAAACATGCACATTATGCTTAACAAGAATATTAAAATGAAATAAAAAAGTAATATACATAAATAAATGAAAAACCTTATATATCGGCTACAAGCTAACCAAAAATGGCCGGCTCTCCTTTTCACAAAGAGCATAAGCTTCCACCCTTTTGGAAGCACATTTCCGAAGCTACCCGCGTCGATAATCCTCTTCTTCTGGCTTTTACTGGCCCATTCCCCTTCTAAACCCCCCATAAACTCCAACAATTCCGCCTCTGTCCCCAAGCTCTCAGTCCTCCTCCTCAACTCCTCTTCAATTCCCAAGATCACCTCCACATTCCCCACTGCTACCCTCTCAATTTCGCTCTCAACTTTCTTTTCCTCGTTCCCAATCACTCTACTTCGACTGTCCTCCCTTCGTGGCCGCCCTCTCCTCCTCTTCCCTTCGCTACAACTGCTAATATTACCGGCATTTGCCGTCTCATTTACCCCGTCAAAGATTGCCGTTTCTTTATATTCCTCTATTCCTAAACTTTCGCTCTCAATCAGCCAATTATCTTTCTCGTCCCTCCTCGGCCTCCCTCGCTTCCTTTTTCTTACACTGCTACTAACAATGCCAACCGGAATATTCTGCAAACTCGGGTTCCCGTTTCGATATTCGATTTGAACCGGCACAAGATCCTTATCGTCGTAGGGTTCGTTGTGGTCGGTGTTAGCAGTCAGCGAATCATCGATGTTGAAAAGTGATTTAAGCAAAGGAAGGATGCTAGCGCTTTCTTCGTCGAGAGGTTCGAGGTTTAGGTGTAGAGGACGAGAAGGGAAGGGTTTGAATGAAGGAGAGGAATGTTGGTGATGTAGGTAGCTACGGGGGGCAGCAAGGCGGAGGCGGGAGAAGGTCTGTTTGCGACTACCGGCGGATTCATTGAAAACGGAGCGGTCAATTTTGGGAGTGAAGAGTTCGGTTTCGGCATTGGAAGGGGAAGTAGAGGAGGAGCATAAAGATAGGGAGACGAGTTCGGGTTGGGAGAGAAGACGGAGGTTTACGACCGGGATAGATTCGAGGTGGAGATGGTTGCGGTGATGATGGCGGTGATCGAGGGTGGCAGAGGCCATCGAAAAAGAGAATAAAAAAAAAAAAAAACCCCGATAGAGAAAAAGCGGAAGAGTTCTAGATGTAACTGAGCTGGAGACGGAAGAGAGATGAAGGATTGGACTTAGGGATAGGGATTTGATTTACTTGCCCAAAGGAGTTGTGTTTTTCAATGCAACTTGACAAACGGGCTGGGTCGGGTCTAGCCAATTTTACATCCGAAATACTGAACCCAATCTTGGCCCTGGTCTAACTAGGCCTACCTCAATTGTTACCCAAATCTATTAGTTTGGGCTCAGTGATGGCCTTTAATTAAAAATATGTGGAAAGTCCATATTCAGTTGTATGAGAGTTCAAATGACATACAATTCCCAATTTGCTTATATGCTAAAGTTGTCTACTGTAAATAAAATTTGAAAGTTAAAATAAAACAACAAACTTAAATCATTGAAATAAGATTTAATCATAAGAAATTTATCGTATACATTGTCGATGAAATTTTTAAATTTCATTAACAAAGCTAGAGGTTGATACTTATATATCCTTCTAGAGTATATTTAAAAAATAAAAATTAATATAATAAAAAGAACACAAAATAATCTTTTAATATTATTTGGGGAGTTCAAAAACATTTTAGACAGTGTGTCAAATAATATCAATGTAGTATTTATAGGTTTTGGAGTGATTTGATTTATCTCCAAATTCTCTCATTTTACCAATAAAAAGAATATACAGTAATAAATACTCCCATCATCCTACTGAAAAAAATTAAAATAAGATAAACTAAAATTTTTATTATATGATTTTTTATAAAAGGATTATAATCTGAAAATAAGTAAATGAATTGTAAGTATTAATATTTAAATATTAAATTTTAAATATCACATCTTAAAATTAATTAAATCAATAGATTCTAAAAATCTCGAATTCAATCATATAATATATTTGGTTATAATAAGAACATGCCTTTTAATGATTATAAAATAATTTATCAAAAAAATATTATAAGGTAAGAGATTTGACCAATAATCTTCATTTTAGGTGCTATGAAATTTATCTAATGCAATCATGAAAAGTATTAGTATCAATAACAATATATTAAAAATGTCCCCAATCGATTGAGTTATTCAATTTGCGAGACAGCTAAGCTTGGGTATAAATAATGATTTGAAGATTAATTAGGGCACATAAATTGAGTTAAATTCAACTTTTCTATTAGGATTATAAAGTTAACTGAATCATTTTATTTTATTGATTATTTTAGACTTTTAGCAAAGAATGATATTATTTGCACCCAAAAAAATTAACTTCTAATAAAATGATTTAAATACCAATTAGTGAATTAATTTTTTATCTTTCACACTCCTTTCTTCTTCTCAGTAAATTTCAAAAATTCACTTTTGGAAAAAGTAGTTATTCACTGAAAATTGATTTTAAGAAATAAACAAAAATTACCATAAATTCATTTTCGAAATTTTCTTTAATGTACCAAAAATTTATTTTTTGGAAACTTCTTCAATGTACAAGAAATTCATTTTCGGAAACTTATTCACTGTATTGAAAAATACATTTCTGGAAAGTATTACAATTATTTAAAAATGTATTTTCGAAAGTAATTTTTTACTTCAATTTCTTGGTTGCATTAGGTACAAGTTGGTAGATTTCAATCTTTTGATCAATTTCTAACATGAAAATATTGAATATCTTTTACTACAATCTCCAAATGGATCTTTAATGATTTTTTTAAGGTACATACTGTTTAAATCTAGCAATAAAAACCTCTAATCATTCGGTCATACTACTCATTCAATAATGTTTGCAATATTTTTTTAATTTTAACAAACATACATTTGAGAGTTATCGCTAATTGTGAAAGGCACTTATGCAAGTTAGCTGTTGCACCTTGTGCAATAAGCATGACTACCTCATCGCACTTAGTGCAAGAGCCAGCTTGCACGAATGCCTCTTCACACTTAGCGATTCTTTACAAATGTACGTTTGTCAAAATAGCATAAATGTTACAAACGTTATTGAACAAATAGTGCCTAGTGGTCGAAAAATTAGAGGTCCTTATTGCCGAATTTGCTAGTTTGCTTATGACATTATCAAGATCAATATTTCTTATAGTGTCAAGTTATTTTAGATCAAAAATCCATTTTCAGAAGTTTTTAAAGGCTTCCAAAAATGATTGTGAGAAAACCATTGAGAAATTTTGAAAATTCAATTTAAAAAATTCTTAAAAATATTCAAAAATAGATGTTCAAAAACTTTTAAAAGATTACGGAAATGAATTTTTAAAAGTTTTTCAATGATTTCAGGCATTCATTTTTGAAATGTTGGAATTGTACCTCAAATTGATCGCCAAAAGTTAAAATTTTAAATCTTACGAAACTAAACACAAAATCAAATAAACAAATGACAAAAAATAAACGATTTATTTCTGATTTTAAGCTATCTAATGTCAAATGGGTCATTGGGGCTTAATTTAGGGTTTAATCTTTTAAAGTTTTTAAGGTTTTTAGTTGAAAGAGATAGAGTGTGAGGAAATAAAGTGTTTGGGTTTTTAGTAAATTTATGTTTTGGGTTTGGAATGTCTTAAGTAAAATTTTGAATGTTAATAGTAGAAGAATATGAAAAAAAAAAAGTTGAGATGCAAATAGCACCGCTCTTTAACTAATTATAAATGGGGTATTTTAAAGGACAATGTATGTTTTAGGGTTAAAAGGTTTTTAGTCATGATGTTGAGGTTAGTTTTGACTTTTAATTAAGAGTAATATAATTAAGTATTAAAAAAAAAGAGTGATGAATAAAATGAGAAAAGACAGAAGGTTAAAAGAATAAAAAAATAAAAAAATAAAGAAGAACCATGTAATGGTGGAAAAAAGAATTAAAAAAACAAGAAAAGAGGAAAAAGAGAAAAAGGGAAGAGAACAAGGGTCTCACTAATCATGTTTGTTCTTTTTAGTTCAAACTGGAGTTTTAAATTGTGTGGTTTTTATAGTCAATTTTCTTTTTTTTTTTTTGGGAACTTTAAGGATTTGTTGATTTTTTTAATTTAATTTGTTGGTTTTTGGATTTTGATTGTTTTGTAAATAGAATTATTGAAGTTTAGAAGAAGAAAGATCCTATGAAAACAAAACCCAATGCAAAAAATTAAAAGAAAAAAGATATGTTTTTTTGGAAAACATACTTCTGAGTTTTTTTTGATTATTTTTTTTTTTATTTTTTGACGAAACATGTCAATTTGATTCAATGGGAGATGTTTTTGGATGTTGCCAGGTGACATTATATTTCTCATATTAATTAGGTTATACAAAGCAAAAACACTTTTTTAGAATGAATGGCTTTTTCTAAATTGTACTAATAATAGTATTAGCAGTAAATTTGACTTTCACTTCAAACTAATTGCATTTAATTATTAATTTCATTTTTTTTAAAACTTTAGACACACCTAAAGGGCGAGAATGCCAAAATGTATAGTTTCAAATCTTTTTTTTTAATAAAAAAGGCATTCCTTTAATTAGAGGAGTGCTGCAAGGAAGATACGATAAAATGAATAAATAAGTTCAATCAAATTTCAATTAATTATGGGAATATTCCTATTCCTTTTATTTTCATGGAATAACTTCTTTTATTCTATTCTTTTACAAATATATATTCAGTTATGAACACTAAAAAGAATTAAAGAAACAGGGTATGACTACAGGCTTGATCTGGTTATATATATGTGTATATATAGCAAGCATATCTGTAAAGCAAAAAAAATCCTATCATTACCCAATTTATTTTCTCATTTTTACGCTTCTTTTGGCACATCAATTATTCATGGATTTTAATGTTTGGAAGAGCTATACCCCATATTTGTGACAATGCACCTGAAAATTTATGAAAAATAATGTCAAATGAAACATTAACAACTATGCATCAAACAAGCGATTGGTTTTTGGTAAAAGACAGGGAGCTTCAAAAAGCCATTTTTCTTGCCATCATTAATAAAATTGTGAAAGCTTTGATGCAACTTTCTTTTGGTAACTTTGGTTTGAAATATTTAATTATTGTGGAAGTGATTTGCATTTTGATGGACATTTCCTGTGTGTTTCTTTGTAAGATACATTGTGTTACACCCGATGCAACTTGGCAAAAATACCCAATTTTTTAAACAAATAATTTGCTTATCTTTTGGATGAATCTTGGTTTGTCCATGATCGATTCTAGTTTTTTTTTTTTTTTGAAATATTGGAGATCAGCAACAGATATTATTCTAACAGTTGAGGGATGTGATAGTCGAAGCAATTATATGTAAAAAGTATCAAAGAAGTAGATCAATAGCATAAGTCATGCATGTGCATATCATGGTCATGAACTGAAAACTCTGTTTCTAGTTTTAAAAAATAAAACTCAAGCAATAACCTATCCTTGTAAAATTTGCTCCAGATATCTCATATATTGATGCCAAAAATTTATGTTTGAGATGTGAAGATTAACTGTAAACAGAAAAACTCACAAAAAAGATAACTTTCAAGAATTTGAATAATGATAGAATATGATTATTGGATTAAAAGAGATAAAAGTTCACCTCCAAGACTAGAAACTAAGGGATACAGAAACATCATCCTAAGAATTCTAATTAAAGATATAGAACAATAGAAGTTCACTACTATAGAAAATTCACCTAAGAGATACAGAACTTGAAAAAATAATCTAGAAGATTGCCTAAGGATAAAAAAAAAACTCTATTCCACCTTATACCAAAGAATAATAAAAATATATATAAGCTAGGAACATCTTTCTATGCATGAAAACTTTCATATTACATTACTAGAATCATGCCTAAAATTATGAGATTTGCATGTAAACATAATCTGCCTATTTACTCCTACGATTGCATGATAATGAATTGACCACAATCTCATTCATATTCATGATCTTATTTTTCAGCTAGTGTGAACGTAATCTTCCTATTTTAGCTCACCTTATTTATGTATTTATTTAGTGAATTTAGACTAAAGATAGGTCTATCTTATTTTTGAATAAGTTCGTCTTAGTCTTAGCTCAAGTTGTATGTTGTGTAGACACTCTGGTGTCAATCTTTTTTGGTTGGACAAGACTTATCTTTAGGTCTGAATTAGTCTTCTCACCATGGTAGGGTGACAAATCAATAACATTGAATGTGAAAGATATTCCATGAATATGGAAAAGTTTTATCTTGTAGGTATTCTTTCCAATGCGTTGGAGGACTCTAAATGGACCATTTGACTTAGGTTGTAATTTGCTAAACTTTTCTGGAGGAAATCTTTCTTTTTGCAAGTTAATCTACACCAAATCATCTTATTTGAATTTCACATGTTTTTTATGCATGATTATTGCCCTTTTATATTTCTTATTTTTTTATAAAATTCTAATTCTGACTTGTTCATGCAATTGTTTGATACCTTAACCATTTTTTTGTATATTCACTAAATTATTGATTAGTAGAGAGAGAAATTAAATTTAGAGGATTAATTGGATTCTTACCATATACCCCCTTAAAAGGACTGCAACCGATGGTTTAGTTTAGTGAACGATTATAGGTAAACTCTATTTGAGGTAAAACAAGATCCCACTACTTGATATTTTTTTTCATGAAAAAAAAAACTAAACACATCTTGCTAACTTTGATTTCATTCTCTTTTTGTAGCCAAGACAGCTTATATGGTTGGGGGTGATCCATTATTTTGAGACCTAATTTCTCTACCATAAAAGTAGAAACAACGTTTTTAAAACTTTTACTATCAATTATAACATCATATACCTTATCATAGGTAGTGCTTTTAGTACGAAATTTATTCTTGTGTAACCAGTCTCCTTTCTTTACAAACACATCACTCAAGCTGTATTATATAACAAGTGAAGATTCAAGACCACCATAGGTCTCCTTAACATCTTTTTCAAGATTTTAACGTACTTTAATAGGTTTTACATCATCATCTTCAAGATCTTTATTTTCAACCAATGTAACTATCTTTAGATTGGACACTCAAAATTTATATGCCCAACTCCTTGGTACTTAAAATCTTTTTGGGTTTGAGTGTTGACAGCATTAAATGGCGATTTGTTGGAAATAACTCCTTCTTTCTTTTGGTGTAGATTTGAAAGAGATTTGGTAGAAACACTGGTCTTAGACGTGTTTCCCTTGTTAATATATTCTTCCATTGAAAAATCCCTTTGTTTTAAGTTATGGAGCCTAAGAAAGACATCTTGTCAAAAGTTATCTGAGAAATACTTTCTCTTCAACTCTCTTTTCATTTTCTCTCAAGTTATAATTTTTTTCTTACCTTCTTTTTTCCTTTGTTTCTTCAGATTTTTTCACCAAAATGATGTATGCTTTCTGAGTTTGATGGCCACTAGCTTTACCTTGCGATGCTTAGAGGCATCATAGTATTCAAATATGTGTTCCACCATGTAGAGCCAATCTAAAAATTCTTCAGGTTGCATCTTTCCTTCAAACTCAAGAATCTCTATCTTTGGATTGAATATGTTAGGTTGAAGTTGGTTTCTGTGTAGATAATCTTTGACTTATCGCGGGTGAGATAGGGTACTATCATCAGAATCATTGTTATTTTCATGATATGGATTGGTTTCTCTTTCACCTTTTTTGTTTTTTTTTTGTTGACTCCTTATCTTTTTTTTTTCTTCTTGTATATGTAGCTGATATTGTAGTTGAAGGATCTATTACCGCATCTTTTTATGAGGGCATCCCTTAGGTCAACATTGGTAGTTGCTGCAACATTGGTGTTAGCTTCAATCTTTTCTACTAGTGCTTGATGACGATAACCTACCATAGCTCTAATACCAATTTGATATCGAAAATTGAAGTTAGAGATATGGAGATTAATTGCAAACAGAATAACTTATAAAAAGATAACTCACAAGAATTTGAATAATGGCAGAATATGATTATTGGATTAAAAAGGATAAAAGTTCACCACCAAAACTAAAAATTAAGGGATACAGAAATACCACCCTAAGAATTATAATCAAGGATACAGAATAATAGAAGTTCATTACTCTAGAAAATCTACTTAAGAGATACAAAACTTAAAAAAATAATCTAGAAGATTGCCTAAAAATAAAAAAAACTCTATTCTGCCTTGTACCAAAAAATAATAAAAAAATATAGACTAGGAACATCCTTCTATGCATGAAAATATAGGCTAAGAACATCCTTCTATGCATGAAAACTTTTAGATTACATTACTAGAATCATATATAAAATCATGAGATTTGCATGTGAATATAATATGCATATTTACTCTCGCAAATTACATAATAATGAATTGACCATAATTTCATTCATATTCATGATCTTCTTTTTTCAGCTAGTCTGAACGTAATCTCCCTATTTCAATCTATTTTATTTATATATGAATTTAGATTAAAGATGGGTCCATTTTACTTTTAAATAAATTTATCTTAATTTCAACCTAAGTTGTATAATATATAGATACTCCGGTGTCACATATGAATTATAAAAAATCTTGAAGTTTATAATCTATAATTTCTATTGTGAATTTTAGAGAAGATTGACCATTTAGCTTCAAATGACTAAATATTGACTCCAAAGTCCAGAGATCAAAAACTGTGTGATTCTTAGAATTGGTAGACATCTAAGAACCTACAGCTTGGAGTGTTATAGGAGAAACTGATTTTTTAACTGTCAATTCAGATCTTACTGCCGAATGTTTTGACCCTTCCACTTCTTAAAGATCTAAATCATGGCTGATCCGATCATCGTTGGCCATAACGAATTAGAAAAAAAAATGAAGAGATTCCTGAAAAACATGTTACTGCCAGAACTGATGAATAAAGAATTTGCCCGTACTGGAAATTTCCAGGGGTCCTGGCCTTCTGCAGGCTTTGACTATGCATTCACTTCAGAAGAGGAAAAAAAAACCACAGAAGTTGACCAATTTAGAAGAATCATGGTTGATTGGATGAGGTGAGAGGTGCCAACAGCAATCATAATTGAATTATTAATCTTGTTATACTGATTTCGCGGTCCACAAAATTTGCGTAATTTTAGAGATTGAGAATAAAAGAGAATATGGAAAGAAAAAGAATAAAAATAAGGGAAAACGTCAGTGGTGACTTAAGCAAGTAAGAGACAGACAAAGACAGAATTCAAAATTAGGCTGAAAATGCACGGCATGGCGTACGACACCGCAATTAGGCGGTCTTTATCCATGTGAAACTGAAATACTTAGGAAAGTGGTCGTACTTCGACAAGTGCCGCCTATGGTAGGCGTCTGCTAGCCGCCTAACCAATTGAACAAAGGAAATTTTCTAATTCATCACTTCTAAAAAGGTCAGCTTTTCTTGAGACAGAGACAAGGAATGACAATCATACGAGTCGAAATAAATTTTTATTGGTTTGAAATTCGATTTCATTTTATATTTATTATACTCAAATTTGATGTGATTTCATAATATTTTTATATTCAAATTTAATTCAATTTAATATTACATAAAATTATATTTTATTTAATTTCATTTAAAATTAATAAAATATTATTTTTAATATAAATATAAAAATTAAATAAATATATATAAATATAAAATTAAATAATTAATTAAAAAATAATTTTTATATATATACCAAATCGAAACAAGCCAAATTAATTTATAATTTGATTCAAAATTCAATTTTAGAAGAATATATACATTCTAAAAAATCAAATCATCAGAATCCATAAAAAAAATGAATTAAATTGATATCCTTAAAGATAAGGCAAGGGTTCAACCTTGGGTTCCTAATGAATTAGCTTAAGGAAAATACACATATAGGTGTGATTGTTGGAAAACCCAAATCAAAATTTGTTGATGATAGTAATATCAGATTGAACATGAATTTCCGAGTTCAAAATGATTTCCCATTTGATTGTTGGCCAACCAATCTTCTTCCAAGCTTTGAATATGTTGGAATAAAGTAGTGTTTTATTTGGCGAAGTGTCATGATTTGTTTAGTAGTTGAAATCTAAGAAAGCTGCTAAAGCCAAAAGCAGCGATAACCGAACCAACGCAGCGAAGACAGAGGGTTTATTGGATCCCATTACTGTATTGGAGTGGCGTCATGGTGAGATTTAAGATCTTTTTTTTTTTTTTAGTTCAGCTGTGCTGTGATGTTATTTGAATTCCGCTAAAGAGATTTAGTGAGGCTATCGCATCATCATATTTTTATTACGTTCATTGAGCTTTTATGTCTTTCATAACTTTTTTTTTTTTTTAATTTTACCATTCATTCTCTTTTCTTTTTTCTTTTTTGCCTTAAAAATGTCATGTCGTTGTTTTGTTTTTGCATTTTGATTTTTATTTAAAAATATTAAAATAATTTTATTAATTTAATGTAGTAAATAATATTAATATTTATTAATATTTTGATTGAGAATAAAATTTTAAGATTTTTAATGTAAAAAATAACATAAATATATAAAATAATTTATTAATATACTTTTAGAGTAAAATCTTTAATAATAATTTTTTATTTTCATTCACGACTGTCATTATTTTTTACATCCAAATATATAAAATATATTTCATTAATTTTAATTTCATCATTATAATTAATATTATATTTATAATTATTTTTAATCTTACAAAATTAATCGTATCATTTATCTAAATGGGCCAGAGTCCCATAAAATCTTGCTGCCGTCTTGTACGACAACATAACTGCTATAACTTCATCAATTCTAATTTTCCAGAACCAAAAGATCTTATCCTCGTCAGGACTGAGGAGCACCACTTTCTTTTACCACATCGAAATCCCAGTAACAAATCCAACAGTGGAGTTATTTTGATGATGTTTTAATCAAAAAGCCCCCCTGCAATCACAGAAAAAGTGGGGACAGGGTAATCAGAAGCATGTGGCATGAAGGATTTCTGTACCCCACAGTAGAAATTCTTCTATAATGTGAAATTATTCTGCTTTTGTTTATTTATTATTTACTACATTATAAAGGGTAGTTTGAGGTTTCCATCCCATAACCCATTACAACGTGTTTCATGGGCATATGTCGTCTTACTGCTTTACTCTCTTTTTTAAGTCTCCACCTATTTCCAGTCTCTTCCTTGCAATTTGCATCCTGCACCACATCTAACATCACCCTTCACCACCTCTACCTTTCTCTCAAACTTTCTCTCAAATATCTATTGCTCCTTTTAGAGATCTAAAGCTTGGAAACTTTTTTGTTGCTCAAGAAGAAAGAAGTTTTAAGGGGTAGTTGTTTGATCAACAACCTGGCTGAGTTTAGCTTCAACAGGTTAGTTTCTTCTTCTAATTTGTTTTGTTTTTATGTTCCTTTTAACATATCTGTGCCAGAAACTTTCTGCATTCAAGATCCAAGTGTTTGTTGAGAATCTGAAAGAAGTTCCCGTTTTTGGGTGTTGAATTCATTTTTTTGCAATGGAGTTAATTTGATTTAAATTGTTTGTTATGAGAGAGAGAGAGAGAGAGTGTGTTGGGGTTGATGTATAATGCATGTGCTGTGAAGGTTGGAAAACATCTTCTGTGAGATTCCCTTGTTTGTTTGAAAATATACAATAAAGTTGTAGCTTTTTCCTTAATGGGTTTTTGAGATTATCTAATAATATGGCAGACATGTTCCCTCCAAAAAGTGTGAAAAATAACTTTATCATAAAGGAGCTTTGGAGTTTTGTTAACTGGTTTGCTCTGTTCTTGTGAATAAACAGGAGAGGTTTAGAAGAAGGATTAAGTGAAGCTTCTGGAGAGAAGCTGGGTATACAACTCTGGCCGACAAACTAGTGAGACCTTCTCAAGCCGGAGAAGGCATTGGCCCTTTCATTTCCGGTGTTCATTCACCTTCCGATTGCACACAGTCATTGGTTTGGTGCCTTCCTATTGATTATGGCTAACTTTTGATCAATCCTTCTCCGATGTGATCTTTGCAACTCAAATTTCACTGTTAAAGCTTAATTAAGAATTGGTTAGAGATGTGAGCATCAATAGGTTTAGTTCAGGAGAGGAAGAAGGAAAACAGTGCATCTAGTCAGGCTTCATTGAGAATTGGAATCATTCACCTTCGTGAAATGGCAAAATTCAATTGTTTCTCTTTATTGACAGCAAAGAAGAAGAAAGATCAGGTGAGAAGGTTTTAATTTACATAATAGTTCAATTGTTTTGTATCTAATAATTTCCGGCTTCATCTTCTTCAATCTGTTTATTTGTAGGGAGGCGATGCATCTTCAAAAGCTATTGAAAAAAAGAAAGGGGTTGGAACCCTCCAAATTAAGCTTGAACAACCGGTGCAGCCTTTTGAGAGTGGTGAACTGAAATCTACAACCTTTACTGTCCCTGTACCTGTTTTACAGGAGGGTTCTCTTTGCAATGTCAAGGTAATCAGCCATGAGAGTCCTGCTGGATGTGAAGCAGCAGAGATATCATATGAAGGGGAAGATGAGCATGAAGAGAATGCCTCGATTAAGAGAGAATTCTCTGACTTTGATCTCCAAGCCCATGTTGCCAATTCAGGTGAAGAATTTGATTTCAGAACCAAGAGGGTGGCTTCTTCGGATTCATTTGAAACTGAAGCAAAGGAAGTGTTTATGTACCAAGCAGAAAAAGAAGTTGAAAAGGTTGTTGATATGATTCAAAGTGGACATATTAGTGATCCGGGGATCAGGAGGGCTGGGTTCTGGGCTTCACCAAAGCTTAAACGCTCTTGCTCTAATTTGGAGACATGGGATGCGCTAAGAAAGGTAGCCGATCAGTTGCCTCCTTCCATGTCTCAGTCCTTTGAAGAATTGCAGGAGTTATCTGCAAGAGTAAGGGATGATTTCAATCCTGGTAGCCCTGCTTCTGTAATGACTCGTTGCAGTGCTGACAAAGTGATGTTGAAAAAACATTCTTCCAGTCAAGTTCTGCCTTCCAGAAGCAGAAGGTTATGGTGGAAATTGTTCCTCTGGAGCCACCGGAACTTACATAACCATTGGTCAACAAAACCATGGCCTCTTCCTCTCACTGCTACTTTGAACCAGCAAGGTGGTTACTCTTCAGATACAATTGTGCCACATCAAGCAATGAAACTGAGCAAGACGCAATCACCTGGATCATTTACTGAAGAGTCCTTGAACAAAGAGTTCACAGGCAATTGCGATGACAACCAGAGCTGGAATGGTTTTCATACTGGAGTTTCTAGTTTATGGCCCCAGAACCAATGGGTTGCTTTCCATGCACCATCGTCATCCTTTACAAGAGTAGATGAGTGGGTGAGAGATCTTGAAACCCAAACTGCACAGCCAGCTGATGATGTGAATGGTGAAGACAGCATAACCTTTCCACCTTCTCCAGACACTGGTAAATCACCAGCAATAAGCACAGCCCACTTGACTCGCCGTTCAGATATCAACCTATCTGAGGAGATTTTACATGTCAATAGTGTCATTCAGACTCTCAATTCTTCCTCAACTGTTGCTCCCATTTCAGGAATAGGTTTGAAAGCTATTCCAATGATCTCAGGTTTCCCAAGCCTTCGGTCTGTCAACTTGTCAAACAACTTTATAGGTATGCTCTCAAAAATAGTTACTTCTCATTTAAGATGGTAATTAGTTTGAACTCAGATATATGACTATGATTATTGTTTTCTTGGCAGCCCATATTACTCCAGGATCACTGCCAAAGGGCCTTCACACACTCAACTTGTCAAGAAACAAGATCAACACAATTGAAGGACTTAGAGAATTAACTCGGTTGCGAGTAGTTGACCTCAGTTATAACCGCATTGCTCGGATTGGACATGGTAATTAAATTGTGAACCTGTTTCCCAATTTTCATCCAAAAAAATTTCTGCATTTTCTGAAGACATTCTCCTTGAATAAATTGCATGTAATACTAAAAGTGCATTGTGGTTTTTATGATGCCAGGGTTGTCAAACTGCACATTGATCAAAGAACTGTACCTTGCTGGGAACAAGATAAGTGATGTCGAAGGGCTACACAGGCTCTTGAAGTTAACAGTCTTAGACCTTAGCTTCAACAAGATAACAACAAAAAAGGCGCTGGGCCAGCTTGTTGCCAACTACAACTCATTGCAAGCATTGAATCTGTTGGGAAATCCAGTTCAGAGCAACATTAGTGACGAGCAGCTGCGCAAAGCAGTTTGTAGCTTACTCCCTAAGCTTACATACCTGAACAAGGAACCCATCAAACCACAAAGGGCAAGGGAAGTGCTCACTGATAGTGTTGCCAAAGCTGCCTTAGGGAGTGGCAGCTGGACCTCTCGAAGAAAAGCAGCGAAAAGAGCAAGCCAAGGTGGATCAGCATCCTCCAGTGTGCACAGGAGCAGTGTGGTAATTGGGCAAAAGAACAAGAACAAATCAAAGAGCCGAAGTCGTCATCACTGATCAGTAAAGTCACCTGCACATGCTTCTTCATCCCATTATATATTTTACCAGTCATTTACCTGGAGAATTCAAGGGATTTTTTCTCTAGTTCCTTTATTCTGCATTGTGACCCTAAAGACTGCTTGCTAAGCAGATGTTTCTATTCTCCCTTGTCATGTTGGAGTTGTGCTTTTGGTAATTTGATTTGAGTTTGTGTGGTGTAATCAAATGTTAATGCATAAACTTCTGATTTCTATCTAGCTCAACTTGACAGGAACAGTTAAATGTTTCGGATAAAGCTACGGTAAGTACCTCAGACAAGATTAAGATTCTTAGCAATGAAAATTCAGACGGTATCTATCATGTCCTCAGCCAAGCTCGCCACTCATACCATTCTCCATTAAACATGCATATCAAAGCCAGAAATATACTTATATGAAATAGGTGCCCATTTAGGAAGTTGAAGGCTAGGAAATGGATAAATGTAATTTAGGAGATAAAGTCTCCTAAATGGTCGCTGAGCAGACAAATAGATAAAACTAGCGAAAGAACTCATGGATTTTTAGATAAAAATGTTTGATTTCGAATATAGAGTTATGTCACTTAAACTGTCTTTGCACAGACAAAAGACAACTGGTTGAAGAGCCCCAAAAGGTAGGAGTTATATTACACATTCCATTTCATTTTCTTCTCCCTCTAACAAAAAGAAAAAGAAATGAAAAGAAAAGAAAAGAGAACTGTTTGATTAATTTATTAACTGCAGTGAGTACTACTACGATTAGATATTAGTAAGTGCATGGAAGTATTAGCAATATGTAGAAAAGAACAGAAGGGTTCATTCTTGAAAAAGACCTATAACTCCATTCACTTTGTATTCTGCTGTCAACAACAACCTTGAAACTCATCCTTTGTTATGATCCAGAATAGAAGCCTTGATTTGACAGTTGGAAACGAGAGGAACACCAATCTCAACTCAAGTGAGACCTGCATGTTTCATTCAGAGACTTCGACACCAAAGAAACTGGAAAAGTGCCAGTAAGTTTCAGGCAAATGGCCATGACGTTTTCTGCCAAGTTGCAAAATTATGGAGTTACTCAAAAAGAAAAAGTCTAGACCACTCACTGAGAATTGTTTTGAAGAGACCACAACCACCCACAATGCAACCTATCAACGTGAAAGAACTAGCACATCCTTTTCCAATGTGAAGAAATGCAGGAGTGGAACCTCACTTTCCATGATTCTAGCCTCTAAATCAAGGACCTGAAGACTTAGCTTATAGTAGGATAGTTTTATTAAGGTTATCCCACATCAATTGAGAAACGGCCAGTGATTATTTTATAAGTATGTGGAAAATTTTTTTCCAAACTTCTGGGATTTAAAAGGCGTAAGATCACCGAACTCTATCAAAGCTAGGTTGTCAATATCTCTTCATGGACCGGGTATAAAACCTCTCTCAGATTTGTGAAGGGGAGATTGTTGATGTTATCCAATGTAGGCAGTGGAAGGAGCTGGTTGTCACTTTATAAGTGTGAAAAAAACGTCTCACCCTTGAGCTAACTTTTTGGGGTTGAGAAGGTCCTAAATCACTTAACAAAATTTAATTCCATGATAGTAAAATTAAGCCGATCAAAAACCTATCAGCCAAACGGAGGCCCTTAATAGAATCCTTCTTACCATAAAAACAGTAAATTTGGGGACATGGGAACAACATCATAAGGAAAGAAAACATAGCCAGAAAGATCGTTTATAGATGAAGCAAGAAATTAAGCTTCATAAATAGCACACAATGTTTTATTATATAGTTCTAGAAAGGTTGGAGCTTAAAATGTGAAATCTAATTTTCAAGCTTGGAAGTTTAGAATTCTGACATAAGTTAAAACCATGATTAGAAAAACTACACACGTTCCAACTAGATCATAAACAAAATCTCTTAGGTAATTTTAACACTGCCACAGAAAACATGATTTCTGACACATCTTTTCATGTGATCAATGATCATGACTAATTATGACCGTTTGAACTGTAAAATTCAAAAGATTAGGGCTTGGAGTTGCTGTGCATCTTTTGTTATATTCAATGCCAGGGAAGCAACACAAAGTTATTTTGATCTCAATATTACTAACAAAAAAGAACAGTGCAGCATACCCAAAATAATTAATCTTTGATACCTTACATATGTACAATGCACCATTCGAAGTGGGAGACTATATTGGAGTCGGGCCTGACGGATCGGGTGTCGGGAGAGTGGGGTTCGGGTTAGTGTTTCTTGTGGGGTTATGGTTATGAGGAGAAAGGAGAAAAGAGTGTGAATCTGGGAATTTAAGGTCAGGGCTTAAGCGCCAAGCCATGACGGTTTAAATAAGGATTTGATCGCCAAATACAGAAATAGTAACTTAATAATCCAACGGTTGTTTCTCGGATTGTGGTGTATAATAGGCCTGATTATGGGTTTGAACGTTGAATCTGACCAAAAAAAAAAAAAAGCTTTCCGACCTGCCGGATTCGAACCAGCGACCTAAGGATAGCTTACAGACTTTAACCCACTACAGTCCTCCGCTCTACCAACTGAGCTAAGGTCGGAAATTTGAAAGGTTTGACCTCTAGACTCATAAGGCGTATACTAATATCATTAATTTTTTTTCCAGCACCTTTTTCTGTATTAAAGTTTTGATAAAATTAATAGGTATTGAATCTATTAATAATATGTAGCCAAAAAAAAGAATCCATTGATAAGAAAAGCTTGTATGAAAAATACAGAAGTGATATCCAAAACATAAGCAGTTGTTAACGTTAGAGTCACCTTTGGCTTTGGTAGAGAAAGAATTTTTGCGACTCTTTTAGGCTTGTGTTCAGTTGGTTATTTCTCACATAAGTCTATTGATTCATTTTTCTGTTAAACCAACGGGTTAATATGTAACTCTTTTTTGGCGAAGACAATATGTTGCTTATTAATGACTTCTTTTTATTAAAGAGAGAGGGAATTTAAATTTAATTATTTGAATAAAAAATAAATAAACATTCAACCTAACAAATTATCACTATATCAAATGCTCGGATACGGGCTATGTTCATGCTTACCCGGTTGTTACATCCACCGAAGGGTAAAATTGAAACAGCATGATGCTTTCAAAGATTAATAAAAGGACATTGAATGTAAACTTCAATGCTGCTTTGAAAAGCATCACCGAAACATATAAACCTCAGCATTTTGATGATCTGCCGTATACTTTCCATATAAACACACCTCTGCATACACCTCTGCATGCAGATACTACATGTGACCAAAGCATAAGCATGACTCCAAAAACAAAAAGATTCAGTTGACTTCTGAATTCTCACCAATAACACTATCCAAAATGTGTTCATTGAACATAAATGATTTGGAAGAAAAAAAAAATCATCATAAAAGCAATGCCAAGGGATTTTTCTCTTTCTCTATACTGCACAGTTAGAAGACTTGCTTATTCTGTAAATCATCTTCACAATCATAATCATGTGGTTGTATAGTTATAATGAGACATAACATGAAAATTTAAATCTGATCCTATGTTTCTCACTTGCAATGGTGGCTCCCTTTGAGTAATTACAAGACCCTATGTATGCCTTACGGCTCCATAGGAGTGGTCGTTGGTCCCATCTAGATTCATTTTCGTTTTACTCTACTATCTTTCTTCTTTCTTCTTTGTGTCCAAAATATATGGTATCCCCCTTCCATGGTGGAGCTTTATGATGATTACTTAACATGCACAAAATGAATTTGAATACCAAGACCTAAACTTGGGTTTCTCGAGAAATTGTTCTTAGCTTGCTTGTCTCTTAAAGAAAGGTTTCTGACAGATAAGGAGTCTCTCCTCGCTGTTACTTTCAATTTCTATGACTCTGGCATCCCACTTCAACCGCGATATTAGAGCTCTAGCTGATTCAATAAGAGGAGCTGTGTCACGGATTATTACCCAACCCTGCACCAATAATCAAATGTATCACATATTAAAACATAGCAGCACAAAACAAAACCATTGGAAGCATATGAAAGTTCTAATGCTCTGTAACACTCTTTGGATGACACAACATCAAGCATTTCCTTAAACCATTTTGATCATGTGAAAGATTTACACGATTAGCATAATACTCTCGTATGCAAAGCTGTTTGCATAGTACGACTGTATGACTTATGTTTCTAAGATCTGTCCAGAACTAGTTTTTATTAATATTAGACCAGAAAGCATCCCTAACAATCCTGAGAAAATCTTAGTGGCATAATTATTAAAGACCAGAACAAAACAGAGAAGTACTATGAGGCTGCTGAATATTTTGGCTTTGATACACTACTTTATACAATACTATTTCAAGCCGTATTGATGAAGCATTTCCCTGGTCTTGTGATCTCTTAACTTCAATAAAAATTTCAACCAGCTATAAAACCATTGTCACAGATACAAATGTTCTTACAGATGTTCAAATCTACAAGTGAAAAGTAACATCAAAACTCACACATGTAGCAACAAAAGTTCTGAAATCAACTAAAGTTAGGGAGTGCAACTGAATGAAAAAGTGCTTGCTTCTCTTCACCTTTCCCATGTTTGTTTGTATGTTGTTTGTCAGTTACTTAAGGACAAGAAAAGTGTTTGGCATGTAATAACACATTAGGCTTTAAATTTTATCCACCTATGGCCATTATTATGTCATTTCAGGAATAGCAAACAGTAGAAGGTAATCGTAAAGGAACTAAAGGGTGGCCTGATTTGATAATTGGTAGCTTGGTTTTAGTACCTCTGGACGAAGCAACCGGTCTATCTCAGTGAATTGATCAAGCGTGGTGCACCTCCGATGTTGACTAGTCTCCAGGGACAGAAGTCCTTCCGCATGCACCATATCATAAGTTCTAGGGTATGTTGGAAATGCTTCACACCTGAAAGCAATACAGATGGATCATAAGACAAATAAAACATGAAACAAAAAAGGGAAAGTATATGTTGCTCGAAAAAGCATTATACCAAGCACATCACATCTTTATAAGTAAGCTTGGTTAATCAACTGTGAACCTTATCAAGTAATATGATGTCCTAACTTCAAACTCAAGTTTCAGTAAAAGCATCAAAATTTTAACAGAACAGAGAGCAGAGTTTGCTTCAGTTTAAGTCTTATGAATGTTGCCACATGCATACATTTTAAACGAATAAATGCTCGGTTTAAGTCTTATGAATGTTGCCAGATGCATACAATTTAAATGAATAAATGCTTTCTTCATTCACTGCATGTA